TGGTTTGTAAACAACCAACAGTTCACATGAACCTGCACCCCGAGAAATTGTCACATAATTTGAGATTATTTTGAGCATTATGAATATTATGTTTTAGACAGTCAGGAAGAGCAAATCCATGGAAGGATTTTAAACTTTCCAGATACGGTACATTTGTGATACATTATGGTTATTCAGACCATTGATCCTGTATGAAATTACACTGCTTAATGTTCTACTTCAGTATGTTACACTAGCAAATGATCCTGGGGGGGGGGGGGGGGGGGTACTTATTGTATTTGTACCTTAGATTGCAACCCATTTGACATTATTAGCTACAATTTACAATTATTTCTATTTTTAAATTATTATATATTATTACACCAGATTATTCATTTTTCCATTTTGTTGCATTTTGCTTCGTTATTGAATAGACATTTTAGATACTCCAAAATTCTAGATTAGTTAGTTTCACCTAATTTCAATGATTTAAAGTAGATTATTATTAACCTATTACAAGCGACCTGTTTAACCAATCCTAGAGGTTTGCTCGCTAATATTAAATTTAAGCTTATAAATACACTTATACACTTACGAGTTATCATGTATGCTTATAATATGACAAATGTCATATTATAAGCATACATGATAACTCATTACATTGTCATTGACAATGTAATGCAGTGATGTGTACATTATTAATAATAATATTAGAAACTTTGCTAGCAATAGTAAATGGCAAATTACTATTAGATTATAACAATTATTAATGAAAGGATATCATAGTTTTGATAATCAGTCGATTTTTTGTGATAATTCTAAGTTTTTGTGATTATTGTATTTTCTGAAGTTTGGGAAATTTAGAAAATGGCGTTTTTCTATCTTTACAAAACTTTTTAATTTAGTTTCATCGACCACAGCTGCCCTGCTGTCACGCCGTCATGCCAGACTGCTTACTAAGTCCAGAGTACTAAAAGCGGAATAATTTAATGAATACAGGATTTAGTTCACGTATATTTAGTTGTTTTACTATTGCCAGTAGATCTGATTATATCGGAGTACTTCTTAATTTTAAAAGGTATCTATTAGATAGCATAGCCTTCTTGTGACTGTGTAAGCTGCATATTACTATATTATATGGCTTATATTCTATTCTCATGTAACTGACTGAGGTTACATGAGAATAACCTCAGTCAGTTACATGACAACCTACCCTTTTATCAAACCCGTGTTTTGCTTTTTAACATTATGCTCCGATGAGGAGAGAACGTTTTTTGAAGAGAGCTGCGCGGACATGGGCACCGTATTGTGTAACTCTCATTTTTCCTGAATCCTTATTCAATACTCATATTTCAAATAGGTTCCCCCAGCAAGTCTTCTTGTGGATCATGCTATTGTGTTCTCAAGTAACTAAGACTTGTACAAGTGTTCTTTACGCTTTATGCAGGTAGTCAATAACGACGCCACAGTGATCCGCTTAAACCTCCATTATTCATAACTTTCTTACCCTACGAACAATAGCTCTTACAAATCCTGAAGTATAATTCATAACCTTGAATCGCAAAGGGGTTCTCTAGAATTGTCTACGAGTCTCCTGGGCAGTGGGCACTAGGGTGAAAAGTCTGAACTTTTGACCACCTTTTGCTTAGTTCAATAATGATTCAGAGCCCTGAAAATAAATATCTAAGGATTTAGTAGCAGTACTATCATGGGCAGGTAGATCCTACGATAAAATTATAAAGGAATTTGAAATAAATATTACATCCTATTAATTAATTTAATATTCTTGTGCGTCGAAGGATGTAAATTGTGAATGGATCCCAAATCTTAATTCCCTATCAACCTTCTTCTTCTTTAATTACATTATACCTACTACAGTAACATTCGCCTTGGGATTTGTAAAAGCAAATTTTTTCAAATCTTTGAGCATAGCTCACACAGTCACAAGAAGACCCCACACAGTCACAAGATTCCAAGAAGACCCAATACCGTCACAAGAAGACACCACACAGCCACAAGAAGACCCCACACAGCCACAAGAAGACCTCACACAGTCACAAGAAGACCCCACACAGTCACAAGAAGACCCCACACAGTCAAAAGAAGACCCCACACCGTCACAAGAAGACCCAACACAGTCAAAAGAAGACGCCGCACAGTCACAAGAAGACCCCACACCGTCAAAAAAAGAACTCACACCGTCACAAGAAGACCCCACACAGTCAAAAGAAGACCCCACACAGCCACAAGAAGACCCCACACAGCCACATGAAGACCCCACACAGTCGCAAGAAGACCCCACACAGCCACAAGAAGACCCCACACAGTCACAAGAAGACCCCATACAGCCACAAGAAGACCCCACACAGCCACAAGAAGACCCCACACAGCCACAAGAAGACCCCACACAGCCACAAGAAGACCCCACACAGTCGCAAGAAGACCCCACACAGCCACAAGAAGACCCCACACAGCCACAAGAAGACCCCACACAGTCACAAGAAGACCCCACACAGCCACAAGAAGACCCCACACAGTCACAAGAATACCCCACACAGTCACAAGAAGACCCCACACAGTCACAAGAAGACCCCACACAGCCACAAGAAGACCCCACACAGCCACAAGAAGACCCCACACAGTCACAAAAAGACCCCACACAGCCACAAGATCAAGAAGACCCCACACAGTCACAAGAAGACCCCACACAGCCACAAGAAGACCCCACACAGTCACAAGAATACCCCACACAGTCACAAGAAGACCCCACACAGTCACAAGAAGACCCCACACAGCCACAAGAAGACCCCACACAGCCACAAGAAGACCTCACACAGCCACAAGAAGACCTCACACAGCCACAAGAAAACCCCACACAGCCACAAGAAGACCCCACACAGCCACAAGAAGACCCCACACAGCCACAAGAAGACCCCACACAGTCGCAAGAAGACCCCACACAGCCACAAGAAGACCCCACACAGCCACAAGAAGACCCCACACAGCCACAAGAAGACCCCACACAGTCACAAGAAGACCCCGTGAGCCACAAGAATACCCCACACAGTCACAAGAAGACCCCACACAGTCACAAGAAGACCCAACACAGTCACAAGAAGACCCCACACAGCCACAAGAAGACCCCACACAGTCACAAGAAGACCCCACACAGCCACAAGAAGACCCCACACAGTCACAAGAATACCCCACACAGTCACAAGAAGACCCCACACAGTCACAAGAAGACCCCACACAGCCACAAGAAGACCCCACACAGCCACAAGAAGACCTCACACAGCCACAAGAAGACCTCACACAGCCACAAGAAAACCCCACACAGTCACAAGAAGACCCCACGCAGCCACAAGAAGACCCCACACAGCCACAAGAAGACCCCACACAGCCACAAGAAGACCCCACACAGTCACAAGAAGACCCCACACAGCCACAAGAAGACCCCACACAGTCACAAGAAGACCCCACACAGCCACAAGAAGACCCCACACAGTCACAAGAATACCCCACACAGTCACAAGAAGACCCCACACAGCCACAAGAAGACCCCACACAGCCACAAGAAGACCTCACACAGCCACAAGAAGACCTCACACAGCCACAAGAAAACCCCACACAGTCACAAGGAGACCCCACGCAGCCACAAGAAGACCCCACACAGCCACAAGAAGACCACACACAGCCACAAGAAGACCCCATACAGTCACAAGAAGACCCCACACAGCCACAAGAAGACCCCATTAGTTGGGCGCAGTTCATCATAGCTCTCTCCCAAGTCCCAACCCCTGAATGTATGGTCGATTATTCATAACCACGTACGAGTACTCAGTACATGAACATTGAACAGCCCTCATTATAAAGTTGTGAGTGTGATAGTTATTGAAGTTTGCCCCTGTGTGTATTCAGACATGTGGCCAACAATTAGACCTCTAATCTGGTGATCCCCTACCACCGTGCAGTTGTTACATTATAAACTCTCTCCAGTAATAAAACTCTCATTTTGCAGAACAATATAAAATACATAAGCTGCACTCTCATCTCAAGATTGGAAACTGCTTTCTTGCCCACTGAGGAGCTAGAAATTATACAACTTATAGACAAAGGGGGCTTTGTAACATGCAATTATAGGTGGTTTTATGGCAGCAAGAGTTTTTATCATTAGTGAGACCCACTGAATATTGATTATTAGCTTAGGTAGAGTTACCTTTTTGTCGCTACCTACTGTTCCCGAACGACTAGAATATTCTATTATCTGACAAATGATCAATATGTCTTTACAGTATATCTATAAATTAAACAGAATGCTCTGATCATTCGACGAAAAGACGTAAAGTAAGATAAAGTTGTACCCACAGCTCCATGATATCTACGCACATTCCCACTACACAAAGATTACACGATCACTGAATCACACACATTCAAACAATAGAACGTGTCCTCAGCTAAGTTTATAATAGAGATGCAGTACCTACAGCAGCTGTACAACAATCTCAAACAGTCTCAACTACGTTTTCTAGGTACTCAGTGCAGTGTACGGTTTCCAGTTTTCCACTATTGTTTTCCACACAATTGTGTCCTTCAATTAATATCTTTTTACCTAATAGTATACAGCAGGCACTGTATCCAGGAAGGTGATATACAGTAGGCTAGACAATAAACGCTACACCTCATACACATGAAAAGTTGGCCCCATAGACTTCTTTCGTCAGTCTTATTTCTAAATTATAGTTAAAATATTCAAAATTTTAGCCCTTTATTCGGCCTAAACTGAGTTACGAACACAATACTGAATACAATGACAATGTGTTAAACACACCTGCACTGTTAAAATGAACATTACGCTAAATAATGTACATTACACCAAACATGGACATTACACTAAAACATAATGAATATTACACTAAAATATAATGAACATTACACTAAAATATAATGAATATTACACTATTATATAATGAACATTACTCTAAAATATAATGAACATTACACTAACTAACTGTTTTCAGGCAGCGTTTGACTTCACAGCAAGTAATGGGCACCCCAACACGCCCGCTTCCCTGCACCATCTCAACGCTCAGGGAGTTAATCAGTACACCATGGCATGGACTGCTATCGGCCAGGTCCTCCAGGACTACGACTGGTATGTTTTCAGTTACTTTTCAGTAATTTTTCAGTTACTTTTCAGTTACTTTTCAGTTACCTTTTAGTTACTTTTCAGTTACTTTTCAGTTACTTTTCAGTTACCTTTAAGTTACTTTTCAGTTACTTTTCAGAGTCACAGTTATTAAGATCTGTTTCAGTTTTACTGGGCACTGAAATGTTTGAAGTGGTTAATAATTTTACGATTTCATGGCAGTTTTTTGTATAACAGCTTTCATTGGTCCGTGAAACAGTACTATATTTCATCTGTAACTTCGTTGAAACGTAGTAGCTCCAGCTATCCAAGTTGGTCTGCTATTATCAGGTTAATAGAAGGTTTATTTGCCGAACAATTAAATACTCATTAAATTTAACACGTGATATGTTTTCAGGGACAAGCAATTCCCAGCGTACGGGTTTGGAGGTGCCCTGCCTCCCAACAACCAAGTCAGTTTCGAGTTTGCTCTCAACGCTAACTCGCAGGATCCTAACTGTGCTGGTATGTTAATTATTTCTAGTTTGTTTGCAAGGTGTAACTTAATATTATATTTCAATGTACTGAGTACACGATATGCCTCCTCTCAATGTTTACTGTGTGTAGTACTTATTCTCTTTTTTAATTAGAAACACCCCTGTCCCCTATTGATCAGGTTCAGTAGTTTAATGAGATTATTAATTTAAAAATAAGAGTACTCAGCGACCCTAGAATGATAATGTAAGCTTAGTATTAGAGTTACTAAAATACCTAACTTACCTGTAACCCTAAAGTCGTGCGACAGAAGCAGAATAGTACATGCTACATTAGTAGTTCAATAGCTAGTAGGCACGAGAAATGTTGGTTTATTTAATTAAGTAACAATGGTGTACCGCTAAACCCCACCCTAAAACCCCCCCCCCCCCCCCCCCCCCCCAAACCTCTCCCTCGTCTTGCAAACTAACAACCCCTCCACTCTCCAGGTATACAAGGCGTGATCCAGGCGTACACGACAGCACTGCAGAATGTAGCACTATCTGGACCCACCAACTGCGCTCCTATCATTAGGACTGCGACGCGTTACGCTAACGCCTGCGCTACCACCCCTCACGGTGGACAGGTAGTGATTTATTTAATTAATAAGTTAATAACTTTAGTTACTGTAGTGATTTGATAATTTCTGATGGACTATTTTCAATGTTTTTGAAGGTATCTTCCCCATTGAGGTATCTTTACATTTGCATATCTGCCCCTTCAACTCTTCAACTACTGCACCTAGTTCTTGCGTTTGTAACTAATTATCTTCCTAATTATCTTAATTACTTTAATTATATAATAACCCTTCTTCTCCCAGGGCTACCTGATCCTGCTTATCCTAACTGACGGCCAATTCACTGACTTACAAGCGTGTGTACAAGCAATACAACAAGCTCAGACTTCCCCTATTAGCATAATCATAGTGGGGGTTGGAAACGCTGACTTTAGTAACATGGAGTATCTTGATGGGGATAGGACTAACACTGCGTGAGTTCATGTTTAGTTAGCTTGCTGACTTGGTTTAGTTAGTTAGCTTGTGATTCAGTTTACTTGTTGATTTTAAGTCGATTACTCCTACTTCGCATTTTCATGTGTTTTGTTACTTTTAAGTACATACTCGCTAGATAACATACTGACGCACTGACTGACTGACTGGTTACGGTTAACCGTTAATCAATAAAAAATACATTAATTCCATTTCGCTTCACTGACTGACTGATAACTTTACTGACAGTTCCAGCAAGACAAAGGACAAAAACAAAGACAAAAGAGCAGACAAAGAGCAGTAATATTCCTTCTTTTTCCGTGAATCATTAGCCCTCACCCCTGGCCCTGTGGGCTGTCGACTTTAAGATTTCTTCAAATATCATTCGCCCGCCATTTTCTTTCTTCACTGTTCTGCATTCCGAGAGAATGACAGAATGTGGTGAGTGGTCTAACATCCCCGTTTCATAGTGTTTAGCCTTATATTCATCTTTTGCAGGACAAGGACGAGAGATATAGTTCAGTTTGTGCCGTTCAACAAATACTGCCATGTAAGTAATCCCCGGGGGGTTTTTTACTCTAAGTTTTATTTTATATTTTATAAGAGTACAGGGTGTACTAATGTATTCACCTCCTTTGTTATAGTAAAGTTTGCAACATACAATTACAAAGTAGCACCTGTACATTTCAACATTGCGTTTATTCTGGCCCACCCGTTACATTACAAAATCAACTTTACCGTCCGCATCCTTACCTAAAATGTTCTATACACTTACACAGTAGCAAACCAGCTGCCCCCCCCCCCCCCCCCCCCCGGCCCCCAGGATATTAATACACCCTGTATTTCACAGTGTTTTCACAGTGTTATCTCACTGTATCTTACAACTCTGCTAACCTTATACCTACTCAAATAAACTCAGACCAACAGTTACCTGGGCAACTTAATTTAGCTGAACTCTGAGTAACAGTGGTATTGTTACGATATGTTTTAGGAGTGATTTCACCTCCAACCTACTGTAGTGAGCAGGTGGTGATCTAAGCGTGGAACTAATGTTACCCACGTCATGTGACGTCATATTTACGTCACGTGACGTGAATATGACGTCATGGGTGGACTTGATCTGATGATTTGAGCTGAAGTGCACAGGTCAAGATTAGTTTGAAATGGTCGCCTATGGCGTTTTTGATGGTCGTTTTTACACACTCGGCCTCGCCAGCCTTCGGCTGGCTCGGCCTCGTTAGAGTGAAGTCATTCTCAATCTCGGCCTCGCCAGCCTTCGGCTGGCTCAGCCTCGTGAGAGTGATATCAGTCTCGGTGTGTCTATCATAAACAATTAAACTTCAAGTTAATTGAGTAGTCGTGAAATGAGACGACATGTCTTCAGTTTCACGACTAATGGTACATTATTACATTCAGAAACTTATTACTAGGCAGTGAGTGCGTTTGATAAACTGGCACAGTAAGTGATATATGTCATATGATACCGATGGTTAAGTGTCAGTATTATTAGTTTCTCCAGAGGGATCCGGGAGGGAGGTGAGTCTAGCCACGTGCAGGGGAGCAAGCTTCGTATCCTAGAATCATCTAGAGTATAACAGTGCTTAGTGTATCCATTGAAATAATTACCAGATGAGTATGAAATTGTAAATTTTGAAATTAGATAAAAAATTTCTGATAATTCTTTGATTTATTTGAAACGCAAGGATATATTTTTCAAGCAGTTTATATAGTCCACCACCGTTTTTTAACATGCGCCCCTTAACTCGTTACATCGATTGAGGGCCACGTTTTGGTACATTAGTATACTGCTTGATACGTCACTCTAGAAGTGACTTCGGCATTATGCTGATATTTTGTGAGCGACTCGTGAATCTGAAGCTTGCTTTAGACATGTCGCTTGTAAGCAAACGATATTAATTGTTGATGCTACAACGTCCAGGCGAAATGTAACAACTGTGAAACCAAATGGTGAGTTGCAATACATTGCGGGAGCAAGCAAATTGAAAATGCACTTATAAAGTACTGTCGGTGTTTACACTAGCACTGTGGTCTTAGATGATTCTAGGATGCAAAGCTTACTTCACCTAGAACATATGAGTTCCCTGTATGTGGCTGGACTCACCTCCCTCCCACTTGCACTGTTCAAGATGATTTCATGAGCACATCCTGGGAATTAAAAGGTAATTATGGTAAAGGATAATGACAGCTGTAGCTACAATATTAAATTGATTTGTGAAAATCGGTCGATGTGAAGCTTCCTTAAGCCAAACCCTAATAATACTGTACCACTCGAACTTCGAGAATTTTCTAAATGAATCTAGACTAAAGGAACCAACTTGAATCCATACAATTTTGAATGCTAAAGTTTAAAATACCGCTTTATATTATCACCATTCACCAGACACTATAGCTGGAGAGGGATTGTTTGTCCCAGTTTTGGTCGTCACCATGACAACTGAACTTGTTTTTACAGAATTGCGGATTTATATAGTAAATTTGGTCAAATCGGGCGACCAATTTTAACTAGCTAGATTTGGCGCCAAATTTAAAATATGGTCGTTCAGTCGCCATACGACCATAAAAAACTAGCGCGGCAGAAAAACTATTTATTTGCTAATTGGAAATTATTTGCGTGTGAACGACCAATTATTGGTCGTATGGAACTAATAAAAACAAAAGTTTGATACATCAAACTGGGCAATCTTGTGTGATTGGTCGGCTTGGAGATGGCTAGATAGTTAAGGATCTTGACCTGGGCTGAAGTGAGAGTGGAATTAGTGAGAAATGTGATATCAGTTAACAGAATGTGCAATTTCATTCAGGTGTTATAATTATATCATTACAGTCATGTGTAGACCTGGTCATTTGTCTAATATAGGTAAGGCAACACTAACTTATATCGCTGGTGCAGTAATTGTGATATTAACTAGTTTTATAGGCTCACTTACCAACTTACCAACTATTGTCAGTATATCTTATTATTTGTAGATGTAAAATTAGTTTAAAAGTGGTATAAGAATTCAGAAAAAGAATGTTTGGAATGTGATCCAGATGTGTAATTTGATCGTAGTGTAAGAAGGTAATACTACTGTATTATATACACTGTATATAATTTAATAGTCCCCTGCAGCCTGGGTAGCTCTGAAACTGCAAGTATACACTATACAGTATACACCTTTATACACTATACACCAGTATACACTATAGCACTGTATATTGTCTACCTAAAGCTTCGTGTTCTTTGGAATGTTTACCGTGAAGTTAAAAGTGGGCCAATCTAATCAGGGTATAGTGTAGAGGTGTAGACACTAGACTGTAGAGGTAGCATATAATTAAGGTGCGGTACATACACTGTAGAGGTAGCATATAATACAGGTGCGGTACAGTATACACCTAATACCTGATATAGGTGCGGTACACCCACTGCTTCAGTGTACAGTGTCAAGATAATATATAGCATTGAGAATGGGAGATACGAGTGGGAGATATACGTGAATGTGAATTGTGCAGAATGTGACAATGTGTTATATAATAATATATACTTTTTGTAGTGCCCATATAAGGCACTACAAATAAACTTCATTTCATTTGATCTTTCAGGGAGGTGCAGCTCAATCTACACCCGTAAGTTAAAACAAGTATCTTTGTCATCTACAGATCTACATCAGATCTACACTCTGCAGTCTACATGTCATGGGTCTTACCGCTCTCATTCATTATTTAATCGTCCAAATAATCTCAACTAAAATGTAGTAATTATCGTCTTAATGATAATTTTCTTCATGATAATACCTCCTACGATTAATAGATCATGATATGACTCTGCTATATAATCCATTAATTTCCTTTTTGTAAGAATAAATATTAAATACCCAGTTTTCAGAGAGTGGTTGGTTTACCCATGACATGCTAAGCTAAAATCATCAAATCCTCTCACCCAAAACACATGTCACACTGTTAATTGTCGTAGTGTGCTGACACAACAATGCAGACAAATTCTCTTTAATTTATATTAATAATTGATATATAATAGATGGATAATTGTTAGATAATTAGTCTGCAGTCTGTACTGATTATTCAGGTAAATTGACGGGGGTTTACTGTCCTATTTGTGTCAGCTATCTATGAAGGCATGATTTACTTCGTTTAGAAAATAATGTAACCAAAATAAGTTGTGTGCTTAAAGTTATTATATTATGACGTTACAGAAAAAAATTATCTTGGAGTTGAAAATGAAACAAATTTTGCAGACTTCCATTCGTCAAATTCTGATTTTTGTGGACCATTTTGATTGGAATTAATACAAATTTAATGTCTGGATCTTCAGTGCGTTTTAGAGCGCCATATCCCTGACCACCAGTATATTGCATTAATTAATAAACTTAACGCTGATTTTAATATTTGAGCTGTACATCAGTATACCACGTTAGAGATATACTCAAATTTACATGATCCCTTTTCTGTAATCAGCCTCATTGACTGTTGTGAAAACACAAATTTGGTTAAAAACACATGATCTAATAAACAGTAACAGGTAATATTTTTTAATGATATTTAAAGTTAACTGTAGCATGTAACGCCCCACCCCACCCCACTCACTCACGCTCGCTAAAACCCTTGCTGCTTGCTAACTAATACCCACTTCAGTCGCCGTCGCTGCTTGCGCGCGAGCTTCTAGCTGAGCTACCGGGCCAAGTTGAGAAGTACTACACTTCTAGGAAGATAGCTCCCCTGGGCAAGAAGATGCATTAACGTGGGTTTACCTGTGTTATGTGTTATGTGTTATGTGATATGTGTTATGTGTAATGTGATATGTGTTATGTGTTATGTGATATGTGTTATGTGTTATGTGTTATGTGTAATGTGATATGTGTTATGTTAATGTGTAATGTGATATGTGTTATGTGTTATGTGTTAATGTTATGTGGAATGTGGAATGTGGAATGTATTATGTGTACAGTAAAACCCCGATTTACCGCAGAGTTTGGGGAAAGGAAACATCCGCGGTATATCGGGGTTTGCGGTATATCGGGGTTTTACTGTAATGTGTAATGCATAATGTTTAATGTGTAATGTGTAATGTGTAATGGATTGTTCACATATTATGGGAGTAGCCTAAGGAGGAGAACTAGTACTTATTCCAGTGTTATTTTCTACACAATAGGTATGTTATATGTGTAAAAGGGATTACTGAGGAGAATGTGGGAACTTAAATGATAATGTGAACTATCTCTTTGTAATGTGTGCGTTAGTTAATGCTTCATGTCACATGTGTATTCTGGTATGTATAGTATTTAAATGTATTGAGGACTATAACTGTCAAAGTGATAATTAATTCTCCGTGTTGTATAATGTATATAATGCATTTTATATATTATGAACATTGCTTAAACTCCTTCTTATATTCGCTCTTTATTGTTGTCTTAGTCACTCGTCTCGCGTTCTTTCGGTGTAATTTCATGAATTGTGTTACAACTTTAAAAGTTGTCAAATATTTGCTAGCTATACTGCTATTTATAGTGCATCTCGGTTTAACCTGAATATTATAACATCTCCATTAATTTCAGAAAAAACTACAAAAAGGTATGGAGGAAATGTCTGAAGCAATGTTGGCAAACATCCCATGCCAAGTCATCAACTATTTCATCTGTAAGGAGATGAAAAATGTTATCTTCGAACCGTCGACCAATAGTCAGACAAACTGTAAAAAGGACTTGGGAGTAAAGCGTGAGGTCAGACGGGTTTCTGTGCAACAGAAGGTTAATCAGATGGAGGCATCCATGATGGCATTTTCTGAGGACTTCTGATAGATAACCAGTTGGGACTTCAACAGTTCATCATTTGCTGTAGGGATCGTTCACATATCACTTTAGGTGAATATTATACCCTCTGTTACGTGAACGATCACTTAAATGACATTTCCTTCGGACCGTTGATTGATTTAGAATATAAAATGTCAGGATATATGTCATAGATATGTGTATTAGTGGAGAAACTGGTTAATTCTTAATGTTATGTTAAGTTTTCAATTTATAAAGATTAATAATCAAATGTCTACCGTTATTTTTGATTCATTGAATTATATCAGTTTTAAGAATATTAAATGCAAGTTTTGACTGCTACTGTGTTTAGACCAGTTATAGTAATGTCATTTTATCCCATTTCACAAAATGTGTAGAGACAATCATTTTACAGTATTAATTTCCGTTTAATAAGTGGTTTGATTAATTGATCAATTTTTTCTTTAATTAGTAGCTTCTATATCATTGTATATGCGATACAAAATTTAATTTCCCTTTCTCTAATATATGGATTATGTGATGATGACGCGAATAGAACTATTTTTTCTTATAAATCTTACTATTAGAACAATATACTGCTATCATTTATTGTTGGAATAACCATGGTGGACCTGCGAAAAACTGTGTTTTTAGATTTTGTTTTAAGTTAGTTTAGTTTGTTAATTGCTACAAACTAAATTATTTCAATTAGAAACTATTTTTTTCATATCTCAAATGGGTGATGGTTTGTCTTCCACTAGAGTTTAGACTTAATACGACCGGCACTCTTTCACTCTTGCAAGATTTAGGGCGAATTCCAAAGTTGCGGGACAAATTTTCGGCCACAGTTATAATTGTTGAAAGTTGCCACAGGAGCACGCGATAATGTAAATACTGATTGCAGAGCGCTACCTTACCCGCGCGCTGACCGGACCACAGGTCCGTATAATATAGCCGATTTTGCAGATTTAAGTTATGCAAAAACCAGCGGACCTAGCGGCAATATCGGATGGCTAGTGGAAACTAACGGATGTCTTACGGGAGCTAGCGGATGCCTAGCGGACATCTAACGCGCGCAATTTTGCCGCGCAGCATTTTTACCTAGCGGAAGACAGCGGATAGCTAGCGGGATTTAGCGGGATCTAGCGGTGTATCATTTTAGTTAATAATCGGTCTGCAATCCATTTAGCTCAGCTGCAACCATTAGACCTCAAATTTATTCATTTTATGCATAGAATGATTAAGCCGTACATGATGTACATTTATACAAAAATATGTTACATAATGTTGTTATGTCGATTAATCAAGTTATCACATAAACCGTGTCATGCGGAGAAGCTGAACTAGACTGGTTTTAATTGTCACCACCAGTTTTGCAGTATTGTACAGGTTACGAAACGACCTCAATGCATGTTATAATTCCATGATGTTGTATATTAATATATGGTATTATAATGTAGCGTATTGGTACGTCATCAATTGTATTATTATTACAGCTTAACTGATACATGATATGTGCGTACGTGCGCGTTTCTGTTATACTGCAAACTGAACTTTATTTTTTTGTGATATTGTAGGTTTATCGCGGCAGACAACTATTCAATGAGTGAAGTTTTAATTCTTTGCCTATCTGCGTCAGTGGTCTTCAAGGTCCTGGAAGATGTATGGTGAGTGATACACTGCAAATTAAACCCAACAATATTTTTTAAACTTGTAGGAGCTAGAGAGAGAAATAAATTTAAAAGAGATGAAGATATTACTATAATTATTCATTTGTTAGATAATGTTTTAGGAAAAATTGATTGTGGTGGATAAAAAGTATATTTTTCATGTTTATTAAAGGAGTAATTACAAAATCTAACAAATGGCCCAACACTTGGGACGTTGGGTGTTTGTTTAACCTGGGATATAATCAATAATGTGAATAAAATTATAAAGTTATGTAAAGTTTAAAATTCAGTATTCATTATTGCATTAAATTAAAATGAATCAAAAATAAGTAAGTTGTCAGTTGTACGAATCACACAGCGTACTTGTCAGTTGTACGAACCACTCAGCGTACTTGTTAGATGTACGAACCACTCGGCGTACTTGTCAGTTGTACGAACCACACAGCGTACTTGTCAGTTGTATAATCCACACAGCTGTCCGATAGCTTATAACTAAACTTTACTTGAGCTTGGGTTAGTACTGGTGGTGGTTTTTTAAAACTTTTTTTGCTTTTGCACTTGGCCTCAGTCTTATGATGCTATCGGATGTGACCTTGGTCACAGCTCTTAAAATACTGTCTTTATCTGAGGACTTATTGAAAAATCGCTGCCTCACTGCTTTTACCAGTTTGTGTGAGGCCTCGCCACCTTGCTCTGATCCAACTCCCATCGACCAACCCAACTTTCGTAATTGGGGAATCACGTGGTCTTCAAGAATGTGTACCTTAGGGCTTAGGTGGAACTGTCTTGAAGTATCTTCGATATTCTATGAGAAAACCGGCAATTCCCATGTCCAGTTTATCGATTGCCTCCTTGGTCAACCTGAATGATTATGGTGAGACTGGATAAGTGGGTATATTCGATAACTTATACCTTTGATATACTTTAACTTTGAATAAGGATGATTAGATATCGTAGATATAGTAAATACCTATTCGTGTTTCCTAAGTTAGTCATTAGTGGACCGTAGATGTTCATCAGAGACATGACATCTGCTATCTCTTTCTTGAGAAGCTTCTGTTCTTCATGCTCAAAGCTGAAGTTGTAATTTTAATGAAACTGAGTATTGGATACTTTGTTGTAGCGCGATGCACTACTGGGTCGCGCGCGCATCAAATAATGCTTCTCGCAACCACTTCGGTAGATCGGCGAGATGCACCACTGTGCCTCACCGAGCTGCGAAGGATTGACATCGTGAATCAAGATACTTTGATATTAATAATGTGAATGGTAATGTGAACAAATTGTGTATGATTGAAATTCATGTACTCACATTCCTAAAGCCAAAATTTCAGTCCACAGCGGAATAAGCTTGTGGTATCGTGTAACGAGGTTGTGAGCGTCGTTACCGTTCAATGTGGTTTTTGCATAACTTAAATCAGGCAATACGGACCTGTGTGACATGACATGACATGAGCTGCATGCGCTGCATGGCCCGCCGGCCGCGCGCGCATGACGTGACATGACAGGGTTAAAATAAAAATGCTCCCCTGACGTGAGAAACTGTGACCTTGTAGCGCGATGCACTACTGGGTCGCGCCTTGATTCACGATGTCAACCCTTCGCATCTCGTCGATCTGCATACGGTGCATTTGTGGTTGCGAGAAGATGCGCGGCCCAGCTCAGTAAAGTAGTACATCGCGCTACAAGTGCGCAGCGCGGCCCAGTAACGCATCTCGCTACAAGGTTGGGATCAGATTAGAGGGTTAGGGTTTCAAATTTTCTTTCTGGACCGGCTAAAGAACGGGTTGAAAAAGTCACGTGACAGTCGAGCATGTAGAGTGATTAATTTCACATAGCCCATGTGTATACGCGTACTGCGTGACGTTGTAGCGCGATGCACTACTGGGTCGCGCGCGCGCATCCAATAATGCTTCTCGCAACCACTTGTAGCGCGATGCACTACTGGGTCGCGCGCGCATCAAATAATGCTTCTCGCAACCACAGTAGTGTGCAAACCAACATTCGAACCACCAGCAGCTGGTGGTCAATTTCCTACGAACGCGACTTAATTTTGGTTCAGACTGGAGTCGAGCGCTACGTTATAGCTGTATATATAGCTCGTTTCACGACGAAATCTTCATTTATTGAGTTTGTCTGTCGATTATGTTGGAGTTTGTACTTTTAATTTTGTACTCGAATACTGTTAATTTATTTTTATTAAATAGTTGTTTTTCGTAACAGCACACTAGTACGTGATTCCTTTTGTTATTCTTACATAATTAGGAAGATTTTAAACTTCAATACTATAAATAATCAAATATTTACGAACACCGATCATCGGTATGTACCCATTATGCATTATTGGTATCGAAGTCTTATGTTGAGCTGGATATCGAAAAATTTCAAAATGTAAGGCTGTAATTTTGTACTTGTTTAGGTGTAGAACTAGGATTAACAACTTGATTGCTAGGAGCTAGGAAGAGATTTTAGTAATGATGACCCTTTAAACTTAAACTATATCTCTAGTGCACTTCGATCGGTTTTCTTTTCAATTTTGATAAAACCTAGTCGTGATCTTTGTTTCAGAACTTCACTAATTTATTAAGTTTTGTAGTTTATATAGACGGAACATGAGCAGATACCATTTGATTAATTATAATATATCCGATTTGAAATATTATTCTGTCGGAGTTTGAGTTCTACATGGACACATTTATTAACATCCCGCATGAATTTGTGTCGTCTTTACAATTTTTTGCGCTGAATTTGTATGCTTATTAATACTGCCGCATGATATCAGTAGCTGCTATAAAACTAGAGTGTATAGCATGTGTATTATACGATGTTTCCCACGTAAAAATCGCAGGTTGTTTTGGTGCGGCTGGGCACTCTACTGGTGATTGACACCAGAGACTGAGAAAAACTTTGACATAATTTTCAAGTTTGATATGACCTAATAACTACCACATTTACAGGAAGTATGGTAATACATTCTTGTCAGCTGTCTGGGCAAATCTTCTCTCGCAGAATTGGATTAAAATTTAATGTATTTTATTTCTCACTTCCAACGATGTCGCAATTATTAGGTAAAATTTGAAGTTATTTTGAGATTCAATTAATAAATTTTAGATTGCAGCTTGATATCACTTAGTATGTACATTGTACTCGGTTGCAAGGGTAGAACTTATGAGAATACTATCATAGTATTATTGCACTATACTATTATGGGTTCATCAAAGTTCGTATCATGATTTGTCACAATTAAACCATCGAGTCACTTGAGGAAACCCGTTAAAGCTCGCAATTGGCGACGAGATAAAGTTTGTGGTACCTCTAGATGTTAAGTTAACTCTTAGGCTCCAATCTTCCTTACTATACCTACCACTCCTTCTTCCTTGATAAGAAGTAGATCCATCTGGAACAGTGAGCTGCTTCTTCCCTTCTATCCCGTACTAGCCTACTCAGCTCTCTCCAAACCGTGAACAACTACTCCCGGTGCTAGAACTTTAACCGCATAATTATAACAGCACAATTCTTTCGCTTGAATCTCAGTCTGCTGTAAGACTGCTGTACCGGTAGAGTTTTTACTTGTATGATTCAGCAATCTGCTCTTTAGATGGTACCGTTACCTCCCGCCATAAGACTGTGCCGTCTTGGTGACCTTGAGAATATCATAAGGTCCGATATATAAAAGCACTATCCAATATCGAGACCCACTCAGGATCCCAAACCACGACTCCTTTCGGTCGTCTGTACTTGCTTTTTTCCTCCCAGCATGGACTAAGTCAATGATACTGTCTTACATCGCTGGCCTTGTTCTTATAAGTGTTCACTCGGCGCTCACAAGATAACATGTTCAGAGATCTGTTGCAGAACCTTGTCGTGCCGTCATTTATATACTCCTTGACTAAGAGCTACTTTACACCTACAGCAAAAATGTGCTAAATGATACCCATCCTCTCCTCACATTACTGTACTTGCACTTACCATCCTCATCTTCGCCATAGAGGTGGTTAAGAGGGTGACGTACACAGCATCTAGCACGAATCCAATAAGTGAGTCTACAGTGCGTGTCGAAATACATTGCATGTACCCTTATATATTAATTGAGACAGAATTTTAATAGATCAACAAATTCTTAAAATTTAAAAAGGTAGAATTTAATTCTATGGCATTTATTGAAACCTGCTTTTTTAAAGTTGAGAATTGGTTTCAATTTCTAGAATATCACGATAATGTTGACTCAAAACTGTTTCAGGCAGCTATCAAGTCTCAAGATATGACATAATTTGATAGAATGTTAGTACCAACGCTATCAGTGCATTGAAGTCGAGTTCTCGATACAGGTATTATAATTAGGTTCTATCGACCGTTTTTGTAGTCTTAACTCATTTTTATTTGTTATTATACGACCAATTAAAACCTAGCAAACCAGACTTCTTTATGTGCTAAATGTTACTTTAACCTTAATAATAGCAGCATTGTGGCAGATATCCAGTTACATTTTTTCCAGCCGTATATTATAAATATACAGGGTGGGCCAAAAGTCAGTGTGCAAACGTTGGCATTAATAGCTCAGTCACTGAGTGCCCAATTGAAATAATTGGTTCTGGTATGACTTACTACCACCACTGGTTCGAGAAATTTGTCAAATCGAAACATATTTGTGTTCATTGTTTTCAAAAGAAGGTTCATTTTCGCATTTATTTGATAGTTTGGATAATCGGATCGAGCCAAATTTTATTGAATTGTGTTTAGCCATTTAAATTACGTTTGCTCTAAAAAAATGAGAGTATATATATATTACTCATGCAACTAAGATAAATTGAGTATAAATACTCAATTTATCTTAGTTTAAGTTCCAAGTTATATAACTCATTTTCTAAAGGTCTCGTAAACTTTAATCAATTACAGAGGGTGTGGCCTCTTTTTCACTGAAAAGACGCCATCAGATTTCATTGCATTCTGGGACCAATTTTGGTGTGATTTAAAGTATCCTACAAATTGGTGTTTACTGTTTCGACTTTTGTAAAATCACTGTAACAATATAATCTGTATTCTTATAGTTTCAACCATAATAGTGAAATAGAGGGGCTGGCCAATAGCCACACCCTCTGTAATTGATTTAAGTCTACGAAACTTTCAGAAATTTGTGTGTAATTCGGAGATAAATTAAACAAGTTGTTATCGGCCACCATGTGTAAACGGAATGTTCTAGCAGACTGTATAATACTATAACATACATTTTCTTACACACACATAATCTAATCTCTGGAATGTTGCTATGATATCAATGGCAATGTTTTGATACTGTGTATTATCATGATTATGCCTTACAGGCCGATCTTCCGATGGAGTTTCGGTTGCCATGGCAACACATCAATATGATAAAGAATTTGTAAACGCAGTCACAACTCTGTCGTGTACACTGTACGGTGCGAGCGGTTATTTTATGATAGGTAACATCTACTTTTTCAGCATTTGCGGGATGACCAGTTCACACGTATATTTTCGCAGACACAACTTCGCATAAAATTATATCCAATTATTCTATAACCAATTATCTACACGGACTTCTGTCTAAATATGAATGAAATCGAGAAAACCAAATATTATATGTTTCATCCTGAAGTGCTGAGTTCTCAGGCAGTAAAATCATGATCCTGATAGATATCGAAGTCTCCTTAAATGATTGTCTCTGCTGCTTAATATATCTGGATTGTCGTTGGGAGGCGATGCAGATTTGTTTACTTTTAAGGGGGAGGTTCTGCTCAGCAGGAGAAAGAGGTGAATGGTGATGCACATTTTGTATTTGTCTGACATGTAGGACTTGAGCCACGTTTCCGTAAGTGCAATAAACGGTAACGAGTGGTTTTTGGATTTCTCCTGAATAAGAGCTGAGATTTTTGGCACTTCCCATATACTCGCACTTGATGCACTAGGATTCATGGACTGGACATTTAAGACGAGGCATGAGGAATAACGGGCACGTGCAGTGTATCCTCTGAGGCGGTAGGAACTGCTGGTAGTGGTATAGTGGGTAGTATATATATATTACTCATGCAACTAAGATAAATTGAGTATAAATACTCAATTTATCTTAGTTTAAGTTGCAAGTTATATAACTCATTTTCTAAAGGTCTCGTAAACTTTAATCAATTACAGAGAGTGTGGCCTCTTTTTCACTGAAAAGACGCCATCAGATTTCATTGCATTCTGGGACCAATTTTGGTGTGATTTAAAGTATCCTACAAATTGGTGTTTACTGTTTCGACTTTTGTAAAATCACTGTAACAATATAATCTGTATTCTTATAGTTTCAACCATAATAGTGAAATAGAGGGGCTGGCCAATAGCCACACCCTCTGTAATTGATTTAAGTCTACGAAACTTTCAGAAATTTGTGTGTAATTCGGAGATAAATTAAACAAGTTGTTATCGGCCACCATGTGTAAACGGAATGTTCTAGCAGACTGTATAATACTATAAACATACATTTTCTTACACACACATAATCTAATCTCTGGAATGTTGCTATGATATCAATGGCAATGTTTTGATACTGTGTATTATCATGATTATGCCTTACAGGCCGATCTTCCGATGGAGTTTCGGTTGCCATGGCAACACATCAATATGATAAAGAATTTGTAAACGCAGTCACAACTCTGTCGTGTACACTGTACGGTGCGAGCGGTTATTTTATGATAGGTAACATCTACTTTTTCAGCATTTGCGGGATGACCAGTTCACACGTATATTTTCGCAGACACAACTTCGCATAAAATTATATCCAATTATTCTATAACCAATTATCTACACGGACTTCTGTCTAAATATGAATGAAATCGAGAAAACCAAATATTATATGTTTCATCCTGAAGTGCTGAGTTCTCAGGCAGTATAATCATGATCCTGATAGATATCGAAGTCTCCTTAAATGATTGTCTCTGCTGCTTAATATATCTGGATTGTCGTTGGGAGGCGATGCAGATTTGTTTACTTTTAAGGGGGAGGTTCTGCTCAGCAGGAGAAAGAGGTGATGCACATTTTGTATTTGTCTGACATGTAGGACTTGAGTCACGTTTCCGTAAGTGCAATAAACGGTAACGAGTGGTTTTTGGATTTCTCCTGAATAAGAGCTGAGATTTTTGGCACTTCCCATATACTCGCACTTGATGCACTAGGATTCATGGACTGGACATTTAAGACGAGGCATGAGGAATAACGGGCACGTGCAGTGTATCCTCTGAGGCGGTAGGAACTGCTGGTAGTGGTATAGTGGGAGCGCTGTTCCTGGCTGAAGAGGTGGATGTGGTCTGGGGTAGTGGTAGGGCATTTGAGTTTGAGGGAGGCTGGACCGGTGGTCGACTATTTCTGATAGGAGTCCGATCCTGGTTTGCATCGTTTCCAACAGTCTCCGTAACTATAACAATCCTGTGATCTGGTATTGGTTACTTAAACTTATTTAATTGAACATGGTGTTTGACGTTGGAGCTTATCACTTTACAGTTTACATCACCTTACCTGAATAATTGAATAGGATGAATACTGAATAGCATTTATTAATGCTTTCTTTACCCGGAGAACTCTGTTTTACTTGTCCCTCGGTAACACAAGACCGTGAGCCGTGACACTTAGTCACAATAATTAAGTCATAAGTCAGAAAGAAGTCCATAATTCGTACACCCATGATTATGTTAAATATAGATTGACTCCAGTCTCCATTGTTCAATGACTTCGTCAAAATGTTTTAGGAAAATGTTCACAGATTTGTTAATTTTGGACTCAAATTAACGTTGAGAAAAACTGAATTTATTTTGGAAAAATCCCGGCTAAAACCAAAATCCCGGCCGGTACCGGTACAAAATCGCCAAATACCAGCCGGTATTCCGGCTGCGCCGGTTATATCCCGGTCGAGTTCTGTCTGAGACCTAATTTTCTCTATTTCTCGTGCAATTTTAGATCAGACACAGTCATCTAAATTATTTAATAAGAAGGTTTAAATTATAAGCAATTAAAAACAGTTGGGACTATCATTGTTTGTGAGTACATATTATACGAATATAAGGTGGTTAATATAATTATAACACATTTAATATAAAACATTTAAGACACATTTTTTTATTCCTGCATTGTACTCATTAATTTAACTAGTAATATTATATAAAAACCACATTTCTATTTGTACAGGGAGCTGCTGGTAAACTACCGTCGCTATACATCGACTATGACTACAATCCTACTTTTAAAAACAAACTACATACATATCTCACATTTGCGAGGACTACTTCATCACAAGCAAAAAATCGACATTGGTAAATAAAGGTAGGTTCTTTTCACTGACTTCGTTAAATGAGTTACATATTTTCACACAAATTACGTGCGTGATCATTAAAGGGTTGCTTGTGTGCAGTTACTTCTGGGCCAGCGCCACCCTGTTGGGAGTTTTCACATAAGTAAATTTGCCGATAATACAATTTTACTCATTCTGGACATGTTACCTATATTATCATTATACTAGTATTTCTTCAGGTCTGTCTTCTATAACCACGATGAAAAGAAAAGCTGGGCGAAAACATTTGAGACTGCAGATTGCAGAACTGGAACACTCTATTTGAAGACAGTGGCTGCTGAGTGCTGAGCTGCATCAAATCTATCAGCATCATGTAACTTCGATCAGGAACAGACTCCATTTCATTTCCGACAACTAGCACCTGTTTTCCCTAGACTTACCAAGTATTAAGTAACTGCATTAGTATTAGGTTAAATTAAAGGCCCTACATCGAACAAGTCTAACAATTAAAACTTAAATGCAAGAGTGCACAATTTATCACTAAATATCTTCCTCTTTTAATTCTAATCAACACACGGTTTCGTCTTTGTTTCACCCAATCGTGCTGATAATCAGTAATCATGCACTCTGCACTCTAACTTCGAGATGTTTCAAAAGGGCTCCCGACGAGTTGAATTAGATCAATATTTTCTTTTGATACATAGATACTGATTGGGAGGTTCATCATACTATTCTTGTCACATGGTAACGATTAACGATTAGCTGATCAGCTTCCAGCATCGACAGGCCGAAATCCATAAATATAATCAGTTGTAATTTAATATTTATCATCGTCCGGATCATCATAATATTTTAATTTAAAGTTACAATTGAACGGTGTTAAGAAAGATAATTTAAGAGAAATGTTTTGAAAGTGCCTGATTTCGAGTATAAGATCTGTACTGATACATTAATTTTCAGATTGTTATTATAGTTTATTTGTATTTTTTATATTATCTTATCCGCACAAGTTCGGAAGCCATCTGAACGCTATTGCCAGACACAGGCATATATTTATTTTGGGGTATCATGCTCTCAGAAATTTCAACTCAGTCCGATATTATAGTTATACTAACCTGCATTGCACAAGGTTAATTGTCTCGCAGTCTAGTGCATAAACCTTTTATTTTGTATAAACCCTTTATTTTGATTGGGAAAACTTTAGTTTAATGTGGTTACCGTCTCTAAAGTTGGCATGATAGTTAATAAACTCTTATCTATTATGTCACTGAAGATGACGCCTTGCAACATGTTTGACGATAGCCTGTAGATTGATAGTTTGATCTAAGTATTTACAACAATTCATCTAGTTTGATTGATTCAAAGGGAAACAAATTCCTCTCTTATCTATTATGACTATATTTAAATTCAATCCTGTAAAGTGATACTCCTTTTTTAGTAATTTAAACATGTGTTTTCTCCTTCTGATTTTTAAACTATTACCGGTCACGCTGAATAATAATGACATCAGTGAATTTAAAGCTATCGTTAACATCACTCAGAAAATGCGCGTCTTTAGCGCGTGTCTTGTTGTTATGCATCAATCCTTCGGTAGATCGGCGAGATGCACCACTGTGCCTCACCGAGCTGCGAAGGATTGACATCGTGAATCAAGCAACCACATGTATGTGGATCTGCATACGGTGGCCACCACCGTATGCAGATCGGCGAGATGCGAAGGATTGACGTCGTGAATCAATGCGTGACGCGCTTGTTTCACAAGTAGAGTATATTTTTGCCGCCTTCGACGGTCGCGCGCTATTGCAAGCGAGAGGGCTCTGGTTAGAACAAGTGATTAATCATCATCCTTGGAGGACTTCGCCGCTTCGACGCGCCGCGCGAACTAGCATTCTTGCTTCGCATCGTCAATCGTTGCTTTTCTTCGCAAAGCAACGATCTCGATGGGTTGACATCGTCAATCAATCATCATTCGATTAAAGGACTTCGCTGCTTCAACGCGCCGCACAAATTATCATTTTTACTTCGTATCGACGACGAGATAGTTGCTTTCTCAATTCGCAGAGCAACAACATGAAGGAATTAAGAAAACATTTAATTACATAAAAATATGGTTAAATCAATCTAAAATATGGATGCATATTTTTCGATCTTCCAAATATAACGAATTGTATCAATGTGTAGTTGGTAGTGTGTACCCCTTTTTGTGGTACGACCACGGTCCTTTCGATACAGATTTCCATGCAGCATAGACGGAACACAATCCCAGGAATGGCACATGCAATGTACTAGTGTTATTTTCGTAGCTTTAATGAGAGCCACTACTATTCACAACATGGTTTGGTAAGTGACAGATGCCTTCAGTTTTGACACCTTGGCCCAACTTTACTGGGCTGCACTCAGGCCTCAGCCTGTCACTCCACCGCAGCTTCTATCGGCTTCGATCAGCTTCTATCAGCTTCATATAATGTGATAAACTTATTACAATTCGTAAGCCGTGAGCGACCGATTTCATTCTCGGTATCATTTTGAAGATACCTTACTAGCTTCCATCAATATATAACTTATAGTATCGTAGTTGAACTATGCTACAATTCAATCTGTTTATACTGGTCAGTTATAAACAAAATTTTGTCTCCAGAGCACTAGACAATCTTTATATCATCTATATATCAATTTATATCTATCAATTGATCAGACAATCTATATATCAGATATATCAGATATATATGTATCAGACAATCTATATATAAATTGTTGGGGATCTAACATTGCTAAAGAAAGTAGTGAAACAAATTTTTTTTTAGTGAAACAAATTTAAAATTTTATCCTTTATTTTACAATCATAATATAATAATATTTATAAGCCTCCGTTTTGAAAGTTTTAAATTTTAATACATTCACATTTCTATTTGAAATTCAATTTTATGTACAAGTCAATAACTGGCCGCCAAAGCCGCGCATTCTTGAAAACAGGATTAACTTGATTATAGTTATGCGACTATGTAAATTTAAAACTATCCGTGGTTTTTTCTTTTAAATAAATAAATTATAATTTTACCTAAGTCCAAAGCCAGCTTTGAAAAATTTACTATTAAATCATAATATATCGTCAACTTTAAATATTTACAATGCAACAATTCATTAATCTGTAAACACGCGTACTCCAGCCCCTAAACGCATAAATTGTTATGCGGCGCGGCTCAAGCCGCGCACGCACGTATTATTTTATACTGTTTGCTTTCTAATAAATATCGTGCCAATATGTACGTCTAAATTGTAAACGTTCATGTTTTGTGTAAAGTGAATCCAATTGGGACTAGTGACAAGGATAAGGACCCAAGTGCCTGTACGGCTTTTTCGGACCCCTGTGGACCACTACTCTTGAAATCACTCTACAACATTGAACATCTATATCTACTACGTCATTTGGCAATTATTGTCATTAATCTAACTTTCTAATTAATTGCCGAGGGGGAAGAGTAAACGCTTCACATTAAAATTCAATATACAAAATTCAAAACCATCAATACGGTATTAAATATTATGGACAAGTCTATAGATCTATTTCGTAGTCATATATTCACATGATTTGCTTTATATTATCTTAATACTGTAATGAAGTACAGTAGGATTTGTGTTTCGAGAAAGAAAGGTTGCGGTCAAATTATTAACAAAAGTAAACAAAAGTCCATCAGGGACTCCGTGGAGTCGAAAAAGGTACACGGCTGCTGTCTGGTGCTGCTAGGCATTTATTGATCAAGATGTTTTATTGTATTGATTTATAATGATTCTATTGTTCGTGACTAATCAAGTTCTAAGTGGAGGTATAAAGTGCTGCTCAAGATACTTCGTCATCTCATGTCCAGTATAATGATTAAGATAGTATACAATGCAGTTTTAGTAGTTGACCCATACAGTTAAGTCCGTCATAACTCACAATCGTTAAGTCGTCGGTCAATTGTCAAAGTCGTTGTGTGTTTATTCGTTGAGATAGCAGTAAGATAAGATGTTACGCGCGCGCGCGTTTAATCCCGTCGACGTGAGATGTGACAATGAAAACTTCATAGAATTATTATTTTCGCGCGTTACGTAGAGTTTACCAGTGTGTAATACTAGTTAACACTGGGTGTACACTGAGTGTAAGTGTAAGTTTCATATACAAGCCGTTGAATATTTCCAATTTTGAGTGTATCGTGAGCATGTTTTACAGTGCGATTGCTCGGTACTAGTGTGTTTGTGTATATATATATATATCATTTGTGGAGTATGGTGTAAGTAATGTTTTTGGTTGGAGTGCAGTGGTTATATGTATGAGAAAAGATATATGGTCATTTTAGTAACTCACATAAATCAGAACTTGAGCTCATTTGTGGCTAAATTAAGCTCACACCAATCAAGTGTATCATGCTTGAATTGCAATTCTCGTAAGGCAATTTTCAATATATTCTTAAACCCGTTTGTCGGAGTATTAAAACTTATCTTACTTGATGTTTGTCGACAGCTGTTCCACATGTAGGATGATTGGTAGATGAATTGTGAGGATGGTTGTGATGTAATGAAATAATCCTCTCGTCGTGGTGACCTGTTAAATGATGAGTACAGTGATAATGGTTCCTCTAACTTATTAATTTTGAATAGTTCTAAGAGACAAGTGTACTTGTACAGATTGTGGACCGTCAACAACCTGTGGGTTTTAAACAAGGGCTTGGAGTGTTCTTTTTGGTAAAAGTCCACCCCCAGTCTTTGCTTATCAACAGGTCGTGTTCGGGCACACGTTTTAAACTTCTCTAGGTAAGCTTCTCTATCCCCAAACAGAATTCTTATACACTTTTTCTGTGTTTTAAAGATAGGTTCAAGTCGGTTATTGCTAATACCACCCCACACAGATATTCCAAATCCTAAATGTGATTCAAATAGAGTATGATATAAATCCTTATAATACTGCTTTGGGACAATGTGTCGTATTCTGCACAGCTTTCCTACTTCGCATTTAAGTTTTGAGTTAAGTGACTGCGTATGTGATTTCCAGTTAAGTTGGTCGTCAATAATAACGCCTAGAAATTTAGCTTCTTGAACTCTTTTAATAACTACATTATTTAAGGTTAGTATGTTCTCGTCATTTTCTACTTCCTCTTTGGCCCGTGAGGGTTTAAAATGAATAAAACAACATTTCTTAATGTTAATATGTAATAAGTTTAGTTTCATATACTTGTACACAAATGATAGAACTTCATTTCCTTTTTCGTATAGTCTTTTGACATATGTGTCTTCTATAAATATGTTAGTGTCGTCGGCAAATAGTATAAACTTTCCTATAATTGATGAGTTACGGATGTCATTAATATAAATAATAAAAAGTAAGGGACCAAGACAGCTCCCCTGCGGCACTCCATAGACTACTGGAAGTTTCTCGGATTCTTCACCTAATACCGAGACATACTGGTATCTGTTCGACAGGTAACTTGCTATAAGGTTATTTGCATTTCCACGGATTCCATAATTTTCTAACTTATGCAGTAACTTTTCATGTGATATTGTATCAAAGGCTTTACTAAGATCAATAAATATTCCAAGAACGTGTTGTTTTTTCTTGAGGCAAGATTCTACGTGGTTCACTGAGTAATTTAGGGCATAACTGGTCGAGTGATTTTTACGGAATCCGTACTGGTTTTCATATAAGGAGTTCTGTGAATGAAAGAAGCTGTATAATCTATTGAATATAATCTTTTCAAATATTTTACCAAACACAGCTAGCGTTGATACAGGTCTATAGTTTTCAAGGAGTTCCTGGTTATCTTTCTTGTAAATGGGACTAATCCTTCCAACTTTAAGGTCATCTGGAAATATGCCATCTTTCATACATTCGTTATACAGTACAGTGAGTAAAGGAGTAACTATTTTAGAGGACTGCTTAATTACATGAATTGGTATGTCACTTGCCTTGCCATTTTTAAGTTCAGATATGATTTTGCTAACCTCGTCTGTTGTGCAGTCATGCATGTAAATGCTGGAAGTGTTTGAAAGCGGTAGATAATCATAGAAACTAGGTATACTGTTTATGTTAATTTGTCCAAGATCATTGTAAGCGGTATTTAGGTCAGAGGCTAATGATACAAAATATTTATTGAATTCGTTTGCTATGATCCTTCTATTTGTTATCTTAACGTTGTCTATGGTGAACAGCGGCTTTATTTCACGCCGCCGTTTACCTCTTATACGATTTATTAGTTCCCAGGTCTTTTTACTATCACCGCTATTTTCAGCAAATTTACCAGAGAAGTATTCTGTTTTCACAGTTTGACGTGTTTTCTTTAGGACTTTTCTGTATTCTTTGTAGATAAGGTAGCGACTACGTTTTAGTGAGCATTCAGGGCACTGGCAAATGCCGCCCTTGTTATCAGTTTCCCCGAGTTTACATTTTCTATTTCTTATCTCGACCCAATTTTCGTACAGTTTATGCTGATTATTAATTGAGCAAATGAGACCGGGAGTTATCCAAGGGTTAACCTGAACAGTTCTCTTAGAGGTTTTCGGGGTCTCTAGTTTAAACGATTTTTCGACGCAGTTTTTGTAAGTGTCATGGAATTCAGTAAAGTTATGGATTGTTTTAGTTTTAAGCTCATCTTCAAGATCCACTAGGAAGCCGTTAACATTTGATTGACAGAAGTCGTAATATTGTTTAAAAGAAGTTTTTTCAGAGTTGACTTCAACATTCCAGTTAAATGTGTTAAAAATAGGTGAGTGATGAGTTATTCGTTCTTTTAGGGTGCCTGAAGTAATCACATTCTCAATATCGTTAGTAATAATGTTATCTATGCAGGATGCTTTACAGCCTGGTTTTTCGTGGGTAACAATAGATATTAACGGACAAAATCCTTTACTGAATAATATTTCTTCATATTTTTGAACATTTTTGTTATCTTTATCATGAAGATCGATATTAAAGTCTCCAGCTAGATAACTAAACTTCGGCATGTGATCAAGAAGGTTAGAAAGTTCAACTAGAGCTTGGGAAATACAGCCACTTGGTGGACGATACAAAACACCTACATTAACAGGTTGATCTTCGTTACTTAATGATAAGACAAGTATTTCTAGATGTTCTGTGACTTGTGATATATTCTCAATTACAGTAGCATTTAATTTATCGTCAACATAAAGGGCTACTCCAGTGCCCTTTTGTTTGTTAGGTGCTGTGTCCTGATAGTAACTATTATAACCGTCGAGCTGAAATAGATTGCTTGATTCTTTTCCAGTGTTGGTTTCAGCTAGGGCTATTACGGAGAATTTTGTTTTGTACCTACAGGTTTCAATGGCAAGGTTGTCAAAATTTGATTTATTTCCATCAATATTTTGAAAGAGAATAGATGATTGTTTCTTTACTTGGTTGCAGAGAATATTTGTAAGGTCAGATGCAGTGTATGAGTTACAATCATTTAAAGTATTTGAGATTTTGGTTGTGTATTCGTCTAGGTTGTTGTCGTCGTCGTCATTGTCAGTGAGTAGTTTAAATGGGTTGTATTTAACCTTGTCTAAATGGATACAACGAGTACAGTAAAACTCATTAGATTGGCTATTTGGATTTGATTTGCGATAGCATTTATGGTGCATTATGCAGTCACAGTGAAAACATTCAACTATTGTTTGGCCGATGACTATGTTCTTAGAACAGACAGGACATACCTCCTTAATGAGGGGAGTCATGGTTGGTAACCATCCACGTGACCCTGACTAGCAGCAGCAGGAACAACAGGACCAGTTTCTCTTCCAGCAGTCGCATCCCTGTATGATCTATCGTCTACCCTTGTGGACCTCCTCTTCCTTTTGTCGATACCACCGTTAATCCTGAGAAGAACAGTGTTACGAATAAATTGACCTAACTTTGCTAGTCCCCTCCAGTTGAGGTGAAGGAAGTCCGGTTTTTGGTATTTGTTGAGGTCGCGAGAGAGAGAGCGGTCAAGGAGACCATCCCTATCACAGAACTCATCAAATCCATCCACATAACTGACACCAAAATTGGACGGGAGCAGCCTACATCGAATCAAACTGTTAAAGTATATAAGCTTTCTATTTAAATCAGCACGTTTAGAAGGAATTGTTGGACAAACATATACATGCACACCCGGATTAATAGATTGAATCTGGGCAATTTTTGAAACTAGATGGTTGTAGATTATATCAATATCGTTTTGGCTTTTTACATCTGTTTGTTTCAGGTCATTAACCCCACACAATATAACACAGTTTCTATAGCCACAGGACACATAAGGATCAATGCTATCGACAGTTGGGGCAAAGAATCGTTTTCCAGGAAGCCATTTGCCGAATGACTTGGCAGGATCAGAACCGAATTTCAGTCCGCCGGTGTTCGAGTCCCCAATGATACATGTAGCGTTTCTATTCAGGGAACTGACTGATCTCAATGTTATGCTGTAGCGCAGCCCAGTTATCTCGCCTGCATCGATACGATGGTGGAACAGTGCTTGGCTACGACGAGTCATTACATATAATGATCCTGGGCCACATAGTTGCTTGTGCTCATCAATACCTGTACTAGCATCAGAGAAAGAAACATGACATGCAGTACCAAGAGAGACTGTAAAGATACTTGATTCCGGGTGGATAGAAGGCTCGTTATCAGAGTGTCTAGGCAAGGTGCTGCTTGTGCCGTCAAACCGATTCACCAAACAGCTGTTAACCTGAGGTTGGTCACCTGAACAAAACTCACTGTTGATTCTGTCGATGAGTTTTCTCAAGGGTGGTGGTATTGCCTTTGGTGTCTTGGACGACTTAGATCCAGGATAATCGTACCGTTCCCCATATGATAGGCAGGAGCGTTCGTTTTCAATTTTGAAGTCTGTGCTGCTCAAATCAAATAGGTCAACTAGTTCTTCCGCAGTCTTCTGATCTATAAAATCGTTTTTGAACAGTTCCACAGGTTTCTGCTCATGATGAGGTGGCTGCAAAAGGACAGGTGGTGCTGGAGGACGAGGATGCTGTGCAGGAGGTAGGTTGGGAGGAATGCAAGGACCAGGGTTATGCAATGGCTGTATAGAACTTATAGACTGTTTTAGTTCAGCAATGCCTGCAGCTACAGTGGGCTCATTTGCAGAAAGTGCGGTGAGTTGTTCTGAGATGCTCTTCAGAAACTGCTCAGATGAGTCTGTAGATGGGGATGATTCAGGGGAAGGTCTAGATGCTAAAAGTTTAAGGTCCCTCTGTAGTTCAGCAATGTTGGTATTTATTGATTCTAATGATTTGTCATGGAGCTTTATTTCATTATTTAGGCCATTAAGGGAGTTCTCTTTAAGAAGCAGGTGTTGAAGGTGAACGTCGAACTGGGAGAGAGTGTCAAGGTTCCTAGAGAACTGTTCGAAGTCAAATTTTTCAAGAGCTGAGCCTGCTGAGCTTGCTGATGCCACAAGTGCACTGACAGTTTCAAGATTCTTAACAGCTGTAGATGCTTCAAAATCTGAGTTGGCCTGTTGCAAAGCCCTTGTGTTCCTGCAGCTGTAACAAAATTCGTCTCTCTGTTTCTTCAGTGTTGATACTGGTGCCACGAAGCAGTATGGGCACAGCCATTCTACCATGGAGTTGATAGCTGACCTCGTTATACCCTTCATAGACAAGCAGTCCACATGCCACTCTTGATGACACTTAGAACAGTCAATGAGGTAAACTTTACCGTTAAAAGAGCGTTGACATGGACATTTCTTCTTGTCCCTATGTTTCCTGTTTACCTGATCTTCATTGTCCACTGTAGATTCGGCTAAAATGTTGCGAGACAAGCTATTAGATGTTTTAGGAGTACCTGAATTCTTCCTAGTATTTGACGCCATTTTCAAATCAAATGTAAGTAATACTGACCAAATAGATCCGACTTGGGGTCGGCTCCCGTTAAGTGTTTTGTTTTGGAGGAGATTAGGACTTCAGAGTTGATGACCCTAGTAAAGTGTAGATGACCCTAATAGAGTGTAGAATGTAGATGACCCTTAGCTTAGTACGCCCCTTCGGGGGAGTTGTAACATACCATTCCTCAATAAATGTATTTAATTGTAGTTGTGAAAATAGTTTAAAAGTAATGACTGTTTCTTGTTGTTGTTAGTTCAGTCATTTAGCATATATAATGGGACTTACACAGTAAACTAGTAGAAAAAGTATAACATGATACATTCAATCAAATCATGTGAGGCAATTGGTAGAGCACAGCTGTACACAGGTAAAGGAAATGGTCCATTGCCACCAAAATTAGTCGATATCTCTCAATTTTCATTATATCAAAACAAGTAATATCCAAACAATATAGGACCAATATAGGACTTATATTACAATATAAGGCCTATATTGCACATGTGTTTTGAGGCTGGATAACAGTGCTGGACAGTATCTCCATTTCTAAGGTAACATGCCAAGCTCCTGGGTACCTCAAGCCCAATCTGTGTTAGGGCAGGATTTAGTTTATAGAATATGCACTATACAGGGGTGCTAAAAGTAACGTTACTTATGTTGGGTCTTATACCACCACTGTGTTTCATGTTCGAGACCTGTAACTTTGCAGATGGCATGCTGTAACTACTCATTCGAGGATTCCGTCATCAAAATAAATAGCCTATATTGTTCTTTCCGAACATGCTAGACGCCTAATGTTTTTAGATTACTGAGCTGCAGATGATGAATTGTTGCATTTGATATGAAAAAATGAGGCAAAATGGGTTTTAAATGACAAAGTTATCAAACATTTTGTGTCACCTGATCAGGTAATCAAATCACCTGATCACATGAATAAACTCGTTGTGCTTCGTATCTTGTTTATCTGAGAAGCTACAACTCTAATTTTTACTTGACTATATAATACTTTACTTTAACTGTAGTGAGGTGTGCTCCACAATTTGAAGTATCTCCTCTCTCTGATATTGTCAATCGATTTATAAAATGTTTAATCAACCAGTGGCCCCCAAATTTATCACACTAAATTTGTTCTTCTCTTGCCAGCTTAATTAATATACATACATAATAATGATATTTCAGCAAAAAAGCCATGACAAAGAAATTGTGGGGAGAAATCGATGATGAACCTGAAATTGACACAAGTGTAGCTAGTATGAAGCCAGCTGATATGCTTATTCCCAAACCTTATAAACTTAATAGCACACATGATGATACTCCAGATCACCCATTCTTGAGACCACCAACCTCACGGAAGGGCTCCAACTCTATTCTTCATGCTATAGATTTATTGAGACACAATCAAGAGATTCAGTCCCAGAAGACAAAGCTTCAGAAGAGAATCATGAAAACGAAAGGTGATTGTGAAATACCAGAACTTCCTCCAGCACCTAATGAATTTTGTCAAAATCTACCAGATGCTTCAAATTTGACCAAGTCAACAGTTATAAAATTAACTGAGGTACCCTCAATATCGGAGGAAACAGCAAATGTATTACTCAAAAAATCAGCTGCATCTATTTTGTGTCATGTTGGTTTCACGTCTGCGGATTCAGACGCTCTCGATACACTCTCTGAGAATCTTGGTGGTTATCTTCAGAAATTTTCTCGTGAGCTCCGTAATCAACAAGACAACTACATAATGGGTCACAAGACTTCTCGCACAGATGTGTTTGAGGCTACTTTATATGAGCATAAAATCAGGGGCTACGAAGAATTCATTAGTTTTGCAAAGACTTGTGTCATAGATTACACCTTGAAGTTAGACGATAGGAGAAAAACTATTGAAGCTGAGTATGCCATACTTTCTAAAACTCCTTATCATTCAGCAAGATCAATACCGGTTCATTTTCCTAATGTTAATACGGTTGATCTTCTAAAAGGTGACTTTGAGCCAGAACCTTCATCTCCTAATATTGTTACAGATCATGAGACTGAAGGGATTTCCAGAGATGTTTTCATGCACGAGCCTAACGGAATATTTTACCACTAGTTTTGTTAAGTTTATTAACAAAATAATTTTTCCTTGCACAGTCACTACACTATCGTTATTACTAATTTTGTTCTATGGAATGGCTGGTAACGATTTGAAGTTATTTATTGATATTATTATCAATTTTAAATCTGATTAATTTTGCAAATTATTAATAAAGTTTTATCGATTAATTGGAGGTTCTATGATGATTTTTCATTATATTTGAGATATTATGCATCTATCATAAAATTTTCGTTGTTCTATAATGTTATATTGCACAGTTGTCCACCAGGCTATAATTGACCCAAAATCGAGTGTCATGAAATTCTGCTTATTTATTTGTTATTTATCGTAAATTATCAGCGGGTACATATGCTAGAGATGATAATTAAAAATCTTTCAAAATGTGGAAATGATGTACAATAATATTAACAATTTTTTACACTGTCCGAAATTCAAGCAATTGGCAGTGAAAATTGGCCTACATCTGACTGGATATTCATGGAGCAGTGTATATTTGCATTTACTTACTCTTTTTGTTGCTGTTTGACGTGTCGAATACCAGTCTCATGAAAAAAATTCATTTTTATCTATTTTGTTTGATTTTTCATGTACCCTCAAATTTTAGACCCACTTTTTAACAAAAATTTTGGTTTTAAAATTAGAAAAATGTTAATGTCGCGGACCTCTGTCTATTGTTTAAATTGATGTTTTCAGTTTTATTGAATGCAATCACAGATTTAGCTATTTAAAGCAGATTCAGCTTAAAGCATGCAAGTAAACCGATCATTATATTAAGCTGATCTATTTCATCACATTGTGTACCAATCTATCTTTGTGGAAAGATAATATAACTTTTGACGTGCAAATTTATAGCGCTAAAATACTGCAAATTAATAGTGATCAAATATATGAATTCGCTGTTTTCAAGCTTCAAATTTGTTTGCATTTCAAATTTTACAATTGTAAAGATTAACAATAATTCAAGATAATAATATATTTATTAACCAGGTATTTTCTCCCCACTAGATTAGATGTGACACTGACTTAGGTATGTGAGAAGGTGGAGATCCATATATGTTACACGTGTGCCTGGTTATCATTACCTTCTTTGCCTTCAACTCCGCGAGTCAGTATTATATTTAATTAATAGCCAGTATTATTATAATTAGTATTAAATTTAGATGATTATATTCTATAAATTATTAAATTATGCATTGACTTTGAAGGTTCAATAGGAACATGTGTCTGCCAGTCGTCATCTTTGCAATGAATAACAAATTTGTTTTCTTTCATGGCAAACAGAAGGATTAATCACTACAACTGCATAAGTATTTGTTAATACTCTTGTACACTAATGGCACATGTAAATTGTTTGTTTGTTTACACGCCCCCTTTCAGACTACTACATAGATGAGGGTTGCTGTCAGATGTTTATCGAGGAGCCCAACTGTGTTGACCAGTGCATGAGAGTCATAGCCAATGAGAGCATCACTGAGTTCACACGTGATCTATTCTCCTGTGCACCAGTCAGGGTAACACTATTTGTTTTTCAGAAAAGACAATTTTATATTCAGGGTGTCCCCAAAAAGTCGATAAAGTAAAGAGTTGTTCACATATTACGTAATCACTGAGGGGGAGTGAGAGAGTTTCTATTTGATTATGCCAGTGTAATTTTAACACAATAGCTATATTGTGTAAAACTGATTACGTAGGGGGTTTAAAATTGGCCAAAAGTGATAACTTAATTTGTGAACGACCCCTAACTTTTGTTAATAACTCTCCTCAGTTGTTACCTAACGACTTGAGTTATTAACACTCATCACTTGGTCGCATTTTTTGGGACACTCTGTATCTTGTTAAGCTATCAATAAAGATTTACGCCAACATATCTGTCCAGGTTTACAAATCACAATAGACCATGATGTAGACCATAATTGACATTCAAACATATATATTTCACTGCTCAACGTTCAGTCTCGGTGATCTAAAAGTTAGATAATGTGATTTCGGTTTTATATCATGGCTTTTGGTTGGAGTAAGGAATTTAGTTATGGGTCTAAAGAGCTAAAGGTGGTTATATTTTATATTAGGTTGAACTAGGTCGAGAGCATAACTGCTGTGGCAACTTTTTGATAATGCGCGCCCAATACAGTAGTACCTACACAGTACACAGTCACAGTACTGCACACTGTCTCGATAGAAACAGTGTTGAGTGTTCAAATGATTAAGTCGCAAAGTTGTTTCTGTAACTTCCGTAACGTGTCAAATCACTATGTAATCAGTCTGGTAAGCCTCAATACAAGATAGACTAGTTACACTTTCCTTCATTTGATCATGTTACTTGAAACCCAATACGAGTACTACGATTTAGTAACTAATATATACAGGGATACATTATGCCCATGACAAAGTCGGAGTTACTAAATCTAATTTTGTTAGGGGGCCTATAATAACGGTTAAAAGGACAGGGTTCTTATTAAGGTATCTTGCTATGATAGGCTGTCGCAGCACATGGTTGGTAATTTGATTTTATATTTTACTGACCCCCCACGGATCAAGCACTTAATAATGACGGGGATTCCCGGAAATAAACTCATAATAGGATAAGTTTATTGCTTTATCTATATTATTATAAATATTTATATATTGACCCTGTCATTGTTAAAATCCTCGTCTTGCGGTTGTTGGTCAGGTAACCCCGACATCCCCTGCCAGGCACAGCAGAAGATGATTCGCTGTGCGACACGTAGCAACTACGGGCTGCCCATCGACCGGGCGGTGTGCTGCGACAAGACGACAGATACGCAGTGTCGCGATGCGTGCGAGCTTTACTCCCCTCTTAACGACTTCAACGACAAGTGCAACCGAAGCAGTGAGGTAAGGAAAAAAGGGCGTGGTCACGTGACTTACTGGCCACGTGACGAATGGGTACGTCATTACAACGAGCGAGATACACAGATATTTCAACTTTTTATTTTCACCCTGTCGATATCCCAATACAGTGTGTGCCTCTCTCACAACATCTCACAGTATATATATAATACATATGTCTGAATCATTCAACACTTTTACACCGTATATTGGAGAGACTGACTTTAATGCGACGACCGTTACATCATCGGTTAGAAAAGAAAAATACAAGAAAATGTAAATGTTAGGTGTGACGTTCACCTTTGTCACTTAATTAGGATAAGATAATTCTAAGGCTTGATTATACGGCACACACACACACACACACACACACGCATACACAGCAATGCTGGCCAGTATGTCCATAGTTTAGAGGCTGCTAATACTACTATAACTGTGTCACTATAAGTATCATGTTGTACAATAGGTCATTACACATGTAACTGCCCTAGATGTTATACCTTTGCATTCTGGAGGTAGTTGCGGTCTGAGATGTGTGTGTGTGTGTGTGTGTGTGTGTGTGTGTGTGTGTGTGTGTGTGTGTGTGTGTGTGTGTGTGTGTGTGTGTGTGTGTGTGTGTGTGTGTGTGTGTGTGTGTGTGTGTGTGTGTGTGTGTGTGTGTGTGTGTGTGTGTGTGTGTGTGTGTGTGTGTGTGCGTGCGTGCGTGCGTGCGTGCGTGCGTGCGTGCGTGCGTGCGTGCGTGCGTGCGTGCGTGCGTGCGTCCGTGCGTGCGTGCGTCCGTGCGTGCGCGCGTGTGTGTATCAATTTATCAGTTATTGAGATTCAAATTATAGTGTTAGGGTGAGAAGTGGTGGAGGTATACCAACAGTTGCAGTAGTGAGGGGTGATGTGCAGATGTTGGGTGAATGTTTGGAGAGGGAAGTCAGAAAATGTTTGGTAGTTGGTACACATTTTGACAGTTCTACACATATTCAAACAATACCAGTTCAATACCAGTTCAGTAAATTCAATGGCTTTGTCAATCTCACCGCGGTCGATTCTTACTGTGACTTATTTGCTGTCTAGCTCAAACTCCTTCTCTCTCAATTCAAGTTTAAAAGAAGTTAAAACCGTCTGTACAGCATATGTTAAGAAGTAAGTCTATGTATTTCTTACTCTAAATTAACGACTGAAGATTGAGCCAGTTATAGGCTGGCCCGCCAGTTGTAACAACCCTCATATATTATGAAATTAGGAGTACATGGTCTGAGCGGCCGTACTGAGATACATTTTTCTTACTTTGTTTAATGTTTATACACCAAATTGGAGTAGAGTCAGAAACCATGAGACATTTTGAACACAAAACTGTAAACAAATACTGAATAGCTAAAGAAACACCGTTAATGTGCATGATGGATTATTACTTAAAATCAAATATTCTCTTCCACTTATTCTGAAATAGGAAACACAGTTTAAGTGATATATAAATAACTTTTCTTTGCCTTGTTAATCACCTAAAATTAGTATAATCGGTATTATATTTATATAAATGAATAAGTAACTCCTCTTTATTATGTCTATCCCTGAAATAAGTATAATCGGTATATAAATAACTTTTCCTAGTTTCATCTTAATAGTGTTGTTGTTAAACTTCAATTTATTATTATTATTATTCTCAGTTCGAGATATACGACTGTGTAGACGAGTATATCCAGATAAAAAAATGTTGCTACTCGTCTCCAGTGGACATGTCGTGTGCAGTCGCCTGTAACAAGGCCATATCAGAAGGCCCGACTCTGGGCGACTGGGTCACTGTTAGACTGACATGTGACGAACCCTTCCCCGAGGTATGTTAGTAATGACAGAGCTATTTTTATACTGCTTAACTAAATTTTGTTATGTGCTAGTTAATCTATAAAAGGTGTCTGGTGATTTTGATAAATTGTGAATCCTGGCATGGTATGTGCTCGGTTTTCTGAGGAAACAATGTCATGTAATAAGAATGTTTCTCGAACGTTAATAAATATTGTTTTAATTTACATAAAGTTAGAAAAATCATACTTTTACGATTTTTGAGTGACTTGTACGCCCACGTTTATTGACTTATTGATTTTTTGGCTTCTTTCTTAAAATGTCAAACTTTGATAAGTTTGATTTACTATGAAGAATGTAAAATCGGATGTAGTCCGGTCCCTGACAGAAAAGCAAATTCACCCCCCTTTCTCTACCCAACTAACTTTTGTACTTTTATTTTCAGGTCAAAGAATGTATGACCCAGTACACAGGTACGAAATGATTCTCTTGCTAGAACTGACAAAAGTTAAACATTTTCTCTCTCTCTCTCTCTCTCTCTCTACATAATTACACGTACCTCATATTATAACACAATTCATTATGTCTGAATTTCTGAGCGCTATAGCGACTCTGCTCTTTGACCGTGCTTGGTTGTGGTTTTATAGTCTTAACACGGGCGTATAATATGACAAGGACGTTGGATTATATACAGTCGCAAGGATTGGGTAATATTTTAGACCTACGTTAACATGAATTTAACAATTCAGTGTAACTTAGACTGAATTAGGATTACCGTCGCAGTTTCTTACGAGAACTTTTGTTATATTGAACAATGATGCGTACTGGCAATGAAATTTCAGGGGCTATAATAAGTAATAACCTGCGTGATGGCCGCAGAATTATGGGAGTTTGCATCCGCCAATATTACCTTATACTATAAATAGTTTGAATTCCATCTGTACCTATCACAATTTAACTGACAAGCCAGTGGCGTAACGTTACTTTGTGCCGCCCCCCTGCTGATTGAAATTTGCCGCCCCACCTCAGGCCAGGTGGACTACGTATAAACAACGGGTAGAGATTTAGTTCTTGGTAATTTGCCAAAGTTAGTTAAATGCGCGCAAATCAGACCGGTAGATTTGTACCGCGGAAAAACATAATTTTGTACAAAGTTTCGCGCGTGATCGTTAGCATTATTATTGCGCGTATCGATCGAAACTTGTCACGTGACTAAAATTTACTGCACCTATTGGCTGGGTTTCCTATGTTGTGGCGTGGGGGCCACGCTGTCTATCTATAAGACTTAAGAGAATTTACAGCCATGGTGAAAATGACCGCGACACATTTTTTCCGCGATCCTAAAACCATTCTTACGAGTTGGCTCCCAAGCTCTAGCTAGTTATCGATAGTTGTACAATACCCGATCTCTCTCTCTCTCTCTCTCTCTTTATAAGGCTACACGGTAATTCTTCTTAATAATGCGTTGAGAATGCGGGGAAGATCAAAGGTTAGGCTAGAGCTGAGTATATATACTTATACCAAAGGTATTTAAAACGATGTATACACTGCAGGGCATAGCAATACGAGTCGTTTTGATTGCTGTAATCTCTCTGACAACGAGCAATGCAGATACACGTGCGATAAGGTAAGAATTTTGGCACGGATTTTTACCTGCTGCGAGGACCTAATCCCAGAAATATCCCACTTTAAAAAAAATCAGTATAACTTGACTATATTGTGTTAAAATGAGATAATCCGAATGTAACTCCCATTTCATCACAAATTTTCTCTCAGGGTATGAAGGGAGACTACACGCAAAACGAGCTGTTACTAGCACTGTTAGATGCATGTGGAGACCCCATACAGGTTTGTTATAACTACCATACAGGTAGTTATAAAATTATGTAATACTAATTACAGTATTCTTACTGAATGTTTAAAAACTTGTTCAATCCCCTAAACCGCAGAGCGACCTTCCAATTGTCTGACATGATTTGTTCTGGCAAACTCTAAGTTCATTTGAGGCTTGGAGTGTCTGCAAATGATTTATCTGTTTTTATCATGTTCAGATCAAGTGAAGGTCAGTTCTGCTCTGGTTACATGCCCCTTGTTTCATAGTCAAAGGATAGAGATTAGATTAGGTGTGGCGGTTAAACTCTAAAGTTTACCATTTTAAAAGCCCATACATCCATTATTGGTTACGAGTTATCTGTGTTCAACGTCTACACTAATCAAAGTGCTCGAAGCGTAAACAGCTCAAACAAAAGCGGTTGCCAGCTTTGTTCAGGTCACAACAATGGGTCAAAGGTTTGAGGCTCTCTAGCTCTGCCTTTGATCTTGAATGTCTAGTCTACACGTTTGAAATGTGAAGGTAATTAAGAAACCGCGACTGTTTTGCGGTCTAATTTGCCTGGATTGAACCCGGCGAGAAGTGAGATATTCGGGTCATCCACCTGTGACTAAAGTACTGATTTCTTAAGATGATCATGACGTGTCGAAACTGTCGAAAGTGATTAAAATATCTCCATCAACAGAAAGAATTTTGGGGATTCTCTGTCATCTAGACAATTCACTGCGTGGCCAAAACAGGAGTATTTTGATAAGACTTCAAAAAGTTGAAGGGGAAATGCGATGACTAAACATTAACAACCCCATGATAACGCTGACTAATTCCCAAGTCCCATGTTCCTCCGCTAGACTAACTCTCACTCCTCCGCAGGATAAAACCTGGCTATGCCTTATGTCGGACGACAGTGCTAAAGTAGCGCCACTTGGCGACCTCACCGCCATACAGTGCTGCAGAAAGGCAGACTCAAAGTACTGCGAGTAAGTATCATAACTAACTGACTATTATCACTTCGGAGTGATATTTAGCTGTCTGTTTGTCTCTCTGACCTATTTTATTGTTGTATCTAAACTTTTGTTTTGTTAAACTTTTATTTTATTAAACTTTTATTTTATTCATCTTTTGTTTTATATTTAAGTGTCTTTTGAGCACCACCCTCTGCCAGGAACCTGTGTCTAGGTTTATACAAAGACTGGTTAAACAGCGAACTGTGGGACAAGTTTAGCTCTTCTTGTCGCTATAAGCCGAGTGAGAAAAAGATGGCGAACTGTATCCTCGACAGTGAGTATTCATTACATCATTCCCGGGCTACGCCACCAATATTGGGGAGTTTCGTATCAAATAGCAAAATTAGATTTCTAATATAGTTGTCTGCTAAAGGCGTCTGACATATTATATATCGTCTTGTTATCCAATCAGACATCCCAAATCACAGCAACAATCCGATCACGATCGCTTTACAATTGTGCAATGCTACACTATTTTGACCCCCACTGTAATCCGTTGTGCACGTTCAGGAGCCACAATGCAACGGTAGGAGTTAGTTAGAACTGGAAATTCACAGTACTCAGTAAATTAATTTACACAAAAGAATATCGTTGATGACAATTGTTGCTGTAAATGAAGTTGGGTGGTTTGAACATGACTCTAAATATTTCCCATTCATGAAATACGATTTTGAAGTATTGTCACTGGGTGATTTAAACTGTGATATCATTGTCTCAACATTAAATCTGGTAATCTGATCCCTGCTTGTCTCAACATTAAATCTGGTAATCTGATCCCTGTTTTCCTTCAGTATCGGAACCTTGTACACTGGGGTGTGACCACCTGACATTTTGTGAGAATCTAAACAACAGGTCAGTTTTTGTACTAATATAATACTGGCGACCACACGTACACCTTGTAGATCAGTTGTGTACTAATGATAATGTATAACATAATCCATCTCCATCTGGACTAAGAGTAATTTTAGTCTGAGATTTCCCAAAAGTAAAAGTTGATACGATTGAAAGCCTTGAAAATAATACTTCAGATCAGAAACTTGCAGCACAGCAGTAAATATTAATATTATATTATTCAACTTAATCATTAGTCACGTGATCGGTCAACTCACCTGTTTAACGTCCCCTCAGACCCCTGGACCTGTTTCGTACTTGCACTGCAAAGTATGACGAAGGCGCAGAGAAAGATTACAACTTGTGGATTAATAGAGGCTGGATTGAAACCCCGCTGATAAACATAACCGTCCTCAATATCACTACCTGTAAACCTGACATCTGGAAGGTAAAACTTTGTACAGTAGTAAAACCCCGATTTACCGGAAACCCCGGTTTACCGAGTTTTACTGTAACAGTGTGTGAATATATTGAAAATTACGATCGCAAATTGAAATGATCGAAAAAAACTCATTAAGATATTTTCCATACCAACCCACTAACGGAACTTCTAGTCTACTCTATCACCAGGGCATAGCGTGCGTGTTGCAGACCCAGCCCTGTCACGCCAAGTCTCACAGTAACAGTATTTGTAACAGTGTCTGTGTAGACCTCCTAACTACTTGTCTCGATAGAGCCAGGTATAATGTTTGTTCTAGAACTTCCTGGAAACGTTTGGAATGGTCGAGGATTTTTTAGAATTTCTCCTTCCTTTCAGAAACTTTTTAGCTACTTGAGCATGTTCTGATGTTCTAGAATGAATTTTGTGAACTTTAAACAGTATCACCTCAATGAGTATTCAAGACTAAAATTAAGTAACGAAGTGTTAAATTATCAGGTCCCACCGCACGGTGGAGGAGATATGTGCTTTATTGGCACCCATCAAGAACCCCAACGAGGACCCCTGTATCGACCTTGACCATTATCTAAGTGAGCAGATGTTTTTCCTTTACTTTCATTATCAGACCATTCTCCCATTTATTGCTTCTAAGACAGGCCGCAATCTCTAATCCAATGTTGCTGAGTTTGTTTGTTTTTTTCTCTGTATGTTTGTCTCTATGCTTTTGTGCTTACCTCCCCCTTTAGAACCGCTCTGACATGATTAGTACCTGACACTTGTGTCAGTTGCTAACCATATGGGCGGTATACGAGCACATTATTTAATTTCACTTCATTTAATTTCACTATAGCGAGTGTGTTGTAACCCTGCCTCCACTCTCAGCGCCAGGAATCCCTGACCACCAGGGCAAAGTAACCCACCCCTGCCAGCCCAGCCCATGCTCAACCACTCAACAATGTGTCCTGAACAGGAACTGTGCGAGTGGCGACATGTACTGTGTACCCTACATCTGTCAGGACAGTTAGTACCAGTCTCTGAGTTGTTATTTTGTTTGTGCTGTGACTCCTGTGAGGAGTCATCCCCAGCTAAACACTTTCCTTTCAACAAACGTTTTGCAAAAGCTGGCCTTTTTAACCCACGTGAAGTGTGGACGTATTAAGACAGATTGAGAGATGGCTAACACTAACTGTAATTGTTGTTTCCACATCAGGTTGTAGTATTGGTGCTACCAGAGACTACCAAGTGGAGGTTGGGAGTTGGGTTAGGATTCCAGTCGTGGAGGACTCTGATTGTTACAAGGTAACAAAGTCATTAAGTGATTATATCATTAAAATCCACGAAAAAGGAGACAATCTCCGATCAATTATGCAATGAGCCGTAATTGGCGACGTTTTCGCTGCAAAAAAGTCGCCATATAATCTTTTAATCGGATACTTCTAAGGATACCGATGATATTTCCCGTCAAATAGAATTCCCATGCTCAAGATAGAGTCTGTACTCTTTATGCCCTGATCTTTTCCACGCCCGACTTTAACATGCTAACCATGGTAAATGTTAATCGCTTATCATTTACAAATAAACTGTTAATATTTTAGGTTTGCACGTGCGACGAAAAAAGAAAACTGTCGAGCTGCCAGGAGTTACAATGTCCAGGATCCACAGACTGCAAGGTTAGTGACATTAAATATGATAACAAGTAGTAATTGAGACAATGTTATCTTGTGGCTTGCTATACTACACCTAGGTGAGTGGTATTGGATGTTGGCTTATCTCCACGTTTCTCTTTAGCTTATTTTCCGGCCAGTTTGAACAGGTGTCAGCCATTCGGCCAACTGAGTAAGATAGTTTTGGTGAGCTAATATCCAATACTTCAGTAAAACTAATAATATACCTCAGTAAAACTAATAATATACCTGATTCACATTTACCCTCAAGTTAAAACTATTCCTCAAAATTCCGCCTAACCACAAAACTTGCCCCCCAGATTGGGAACCAGTACTACGAGCACATGTCACAGTTCATGTACGAGTGTAACATGTGCGTGTGTTACAGTGGCCTTGTAACCTGCACCAAAGACAACTGTGACAACGGCAACGCTGTGGAGACCTCGGTTGCGCGGTTACCAGGCGGTTGTAAAGCCTATTATTCTCCTGTTTGTGGCCTCAATGGAGCGAGTTATCTCAATCCTTGCATTGCCAGGTAACGCTGCTTTCTCTTTCACTTTCAGTTTCATCTCATTCATAGCTACCACTTTTGTTAGATTAACGTTAATAAATAATCCTGGTTATATCTTCATCGGTTTAAAATTTTTAGTTTTTACAAGAAATAATCGTGTCACTGTTTTTTATTCGTTATATAATTGAAATGTGCTACTAAATGAAACATTTACTGCCTGTCTTTGTCTCTGCAGTCTTAATCACCCATCAGTCATCACGTACTCAAAAAGTACCGTCTACTTAGAACAAGACTTTGTTAAGTAATGGATTAAATAACTCATTACATACTGTCTAGCTTGCGTCTTACCATTTTAGAAATTGAAATTGTGATTATTATTATTATCATCACAACTGAATTCAGTATATTGTTTCTATCAATAATCAATTATAATTGATAATTAACCATTCAAAAGTAATAAAAATTCCTCCGCAGACAATTCAACATGAAGGAGTCCCAGCTGCACTACCAAGCATGCAGCAGTGTGGACGTGTGTATCAACTCACAATGTCCAGAGAACCAGGTCTGTCGACCTAAACGACAAACCTGTCTCGATCTCAGGTTAATACCTTTTAAATTGTCTCATTTTCAGTTTATTTATCAATTGTACTTTGATTTTATCTGATGTCATGATATGTCAACATAAAAAATAACATTTTTTGTGTATCGTGAGGAGTTAATAATAACAATAATGTGTTGGATAATTCGCATTAATATTTCGATGGAATCGGGAGAAGGGACTAGGGAATAGAGGACGGAGGGTCAGGACGAAGTTTGATAAATTCCAAGTACCAAAATATCCAGATCGTTTTAGTAACTTTTTAAAAGATTTCTTTGAAACGAAGTGTTACAGTTACATCAATTAGAATGAAGTTATATGTCCGGTATTTTCCGTTTTATGCCATTTACAAATTCAGAATTTTAGAGAAACCAGTATTTTACAAAGTTTCAGCCTTAAAGAACGATATAATTTGAATTCAATATTAATCTTCATTCTTCAATCTCATTATCATTTTGAACGCCAAAATAATCATTTTTGCCCTTTTTGTCGTATTTTGACCTCACACAATTGTCACATTAGTAATTCTATGACCAAAATTCATGGCATAAAATGGAGAATTACCCAAAGGTTTTTTAATTTTCTCGATAGACATTTCCTCCATCTAAGATTATCATACTCAAAATAGACAACTGCACGTGTTCAAAACTTATAAACAATCAATGATCTAAAAACAGATTGAGCCCTACAATAACCAGTTACAAGATTGTCCCAAGGCCAAGGTCACTGTCATTGCCACTAGTTCCACTCCTCTCCAGATCCTCCAGGTTAAAGCACTTCTGTTCCCTTTTCTTAGGTAGAGGAGAGGACTGATCCAGATCCATGTGCTCAGAGCAGGTGGTGATATAACTGTTGTCATAAGTTTTGTTGTCACCCCTCACTCCGAGTTCCTCATCACATTCCACAGTATTTGTCTCCCCAGGGAGGAATACTGGGACTGACACGTCCAGCAGAGCCGTTCCATTTTCAGCTTTTACATCCCTACAAGCAATTTTAGATAGATCTTTCTGTTCATTTACAGTAAAGAGTCGGATCTGGCTCAGGGTCATGGTTAGATTAAGGGAAAGAACAGATCCTAGGGTGATGGAGTCACGTCGGGGAAGATACTGCCACAGGGAGCACACCCCGTCCCTTTCAAAAGACTCCAGTGCAGAACAGAGCATCAGTATTTCCTCTTTTTCCTCCGCACTTTTACAAGTATTGAGGAATACTTTAGGTGTCACCACTTGAACCCCGTTGAGCAGTGAGATGCACATATTGGTGCTCTTAAGCTGAACTGTTGTTTTCGTACAACCACAAACTAGATGTTCGTCGATCGGCACAGACCTGAACTCCCAGGTTTGGTCACATGCTGAGCTCCAAAACAGTGGGTATCCCATGGGCCCTTTCATGTTGAGACCCTCATATCCTGTAATGTCCACCTCCACGCACTGTCCTGTATCCGCACTCTGGATAACCAGCCCCGTCTCCTGGCTCATCTTCATGGTCTCCTCTGAGTCTCGAGTATCACGTCTGAGAAGACATGTTTTATCTAGGATTATAGCTAACGACTCTTCGTCAGTATGATAATCAAGTTCACCCATTGTTTCCCTGTGCAAAGAACACTCCGAGAGTTTGTCCAGAGAGATGGTGAAGGATTGGCAATCTTCCAGGACTTTACAATAGTCCCAACACTGGTTCCCCGGAGGTAGGGAGAACTTTTGGAAGGGTTCCGAATTTACAACAGCATAGTGGAATTCACAGCTATTTGAACCAGGAAATATTATCAGCGCGATAATTATCTTTAAGAGGGTGATTATCGTCTTTAGATGAGCCATTCTCCTGAGGTCCCAAGTAGAGCTTTGTAACCAAACTGGGAATGTAAAACGTGGCAGGTTGCAAGGTGGTTACCGAACAGAGACTCGCAGAGAGAAACTAAAAGTACTGAAATAATTAATTTGTATTTAACCCCAGACGGAACGATTTATATTCCTTTGTTTCCTTTGATCATCAAGTATTATTATTGTATTGCAAATACATTGAAACATGGGTGCGCCAGTAAGATGGTCTCTATCATCCCCTTGCAGAGCTCAGTCAAGTGAGAAAACTTGATAAATGGTACTTAAATTTATTGATATTTTTGTCGGCGGTCATGTCTCTCCTTTAACTCTTTGAAAAACAGATAGTGCTTGAGATGACAAAGAAGAGGTAAGTACAATAGCTCAGGTGATCAATAGAGTACAAAACTGTAAATAGATGTTGGGAAACTCAGTCTCGCCCATTTTTATTAACTGAAGGTTGGACCTAGATGATCTACAAAAGGATGAGCATGCTTTGCCTGCCTCTGGAGTCTGGGGACGGGGTAACTACCAAAAATTACGTGGTACTAGTCGTATTTTTCCAGTTACTTTCACTTTCACTTTCACTTTCACTTTCACTTTCACTTTAACTTTCACTTTCACTTTCACTTTCACTTTCAGTGCAGTTACATCCCACAAAACTTACTTTTATCATATAATAATGGCGCGGATACTCTCAGACACATCACAACCTATGATGTCTATAACTGCACGTCAATTTATAGCTAAAATTACATTAATCGCTCCTGACATAACAACACATAACTATGATCTGGACGACTCCCCGATCGTAGTTTTATATCACCTATGATATGCGCATTAGCATACCATTCAGATCGCGTGTAACGGTCAACATCACGATACATTGGATTGGCTCCTTTGTTATAACCACCGTGACTTCCTACTAATACTTTGCCCTATGATTATAGTAATCCGTGCTTCTGACGAATAATTACTGATTTACTCCAATTACCCAAATTATCTCAATTAGCGAGCGGTTTTCCGGCTAGAGGATCACACATACTGTTGATTCTAGATCACTACCTGATATGATTTTGTTATACTTACTAGTTTGTTTCTTTACTTCAACTTATCAAAAACAAGTCGTCAACATTGGTAGGTTTTTTATTGTTTAATAATTTAAATCAAAAGCGAGCGAGATTATCGATAGCACTAGCAGTTTGAAAATACTCTCAATCCAATTTTCCCCGTTTCATGCATCACTTTATCTTTCCCTTTCTCTTCCTTTTCAATCTAAATTACAGGAGTATTAGTAGACCCAGATCCAAACCAAGGACTGCGACGAACAGTAGACTACGCCGTGAAATACGCCAACAGAAACATCCTCATCCCCAGTGGTATCGAGCTGACAGCCGTGTATCCCCGCCACTCCCTCGACGGAGACATCCACATCGTTTCCACTGTATTCGACTTCCTCCAGCAGGGGGTTGTGGGGGTGATAGGACCTGGGGACAGTGATGGTGTGAGACTGGTTAACGGAATATTATCCTCCATGCAGATCCCACACATCGCTCCACAAGCTACTGACCCCTATCTTAACAGTTCGTCTAAGTTCCCGTATTTGATCCGTCTAACACCCCCTGATGATCTGTTGAACCGGGTTCTGATAGATGTGTTCCGTAAGTTTAACTGGAAGAACTGTGCAATTCTCACCAGTGCTAACAACTATGGTACCTACGGAGAACAGGGTTTGAGATGGTTCCTGTTACATGCTTTCAAAGAGGGCTGGGATATCCTGGCTTTGGAGCAGCACGGTACACCTGATGATCCGAGGAAACTTAACGTAACGGAGCAACTTCTCAATATCAAGAACTCGGATGCTCGAATCATCATCATGTTCACTGTTATCAAGTATGCTCCGTTTATCTTCAGAGAAGCGTACGATGCTAATTTGTTGGGTAAGGGATACGCGTGGATTCTTATCGATGGTGCAGGAGACCTGGACTTTGTTTACCAACAGAGTTTACCTCAGGGCTATCCTCTTTACCTCCGAGGTCTTCTCTCAATCAGACCTATCAGTGAGGAGGGTGCCAAGTTCCGCTCTTTTGAAGAGCAGTGGCATCTTGACAGTGTGAGAAGACAGCCCTTTGATTCACAATTCACTGACGCGGTGCTTTTGATCGCCGAAGCGCTGAAAGACGCGAAGTTGAACAGGATGGACTTGACTCCAACGACCTTGTCTCCGGGACTTGATCACTCTCAGTATATTAACCAGAAGTGGAAACAAGGAAATATTTTGAGGGAGTTTATATTGAATCAGAAATTAGACGGATTAACACGATACATTGAGTTTAGTAACGTTACTTACATCCCTAAAAACCTTGAGTTTGGAATATACAGCATTCAGTTTTCTAACAATCAAAGATCAAAAGTGGGATACTGGACCCAAGAAAAGGGCTTGAAGATGACGTCGAACATAACTTGGCTAGGGAAAAATACCGGGCAATTATACGATCTACCACAGACACTGGCAGGACGAAAATATCGGATTGTCACCATTCATTCTCCTCCCTTCATTATCAGAGATGAGAAACCCGACGGACAAAAATTCAAAGGCTACCTAGTCGACCTGCTAAATCTACTTGCAGCAGACCTCGACTTTGAGTATGAGTTATACGAGGTGGCGGACAAGAACTGGGGTAACAAACTGATGAACGGACAATGGACAGGCCTCATTCAAGATGTCATGACCAACAAGGCTGACTTCGCTGTCGCTGACCTCACAGTAACTAAATCAAGAGAGGAAGCCGTGCGGTTCTCTAAAGCCTACTTCCGAGCAGGAATGGCTCTTGCCATGCAGCTCCAACAGGAAGAGAAGACACTGTTTTACTGGCTGAACCCTCTAGCAGCTAATGTATGGATCGCAATGTTTGGGGTCTGTGTGACGTGCGCTCTGATAATGTGTTTCTACAGCAAATACAGTCCCATGAGCTACGAGGTGGACCAGGAAGACGAGATAACCTTCACCTTCTACAACTGTCTTTGGTTCATGGTGGCGTCTTTCATGCAGCAGGGACCGGACGATGGCAGTCCGAGATGTCTCTCCGCGCGGCTCATAGCCATAGTCTGGTGGATAACCTGCATCCTCATCATCACCCTCTACTCAGCTACCCTTACAGCTAACCTCACTGTAAACAGCATGAAGAAACCCATAAACTCTATCTACGATCTGACCAAGCAGGACCGGTACACGTACGGTACTGTGGGAAACACCAGTTACCAGAGCATGTTCCAGAATACTACCTACATGGAGTACGAGAAAGTTAATGAGAAGTTGAAGTTTGTTGACAACTCGGACACGGCCTACAGGAGGATATCCGAGGAGAACTTTATATTTATCTGGGATACCCCTCTACTTGATTATGAGCGGAGGAAGAGGGACTGCTCCTTCGAGAGACTCTCTAATGAGTTCGGGTACTCTCAATACGCCTCCGCATTTCCCCGTAACAATGCCACTATGGAGCATGTAGCGCACTTATTCGACAAGGCAATACTGGGATATGACGAGAAGAAAACACTGAAGTTAACATGGCAGGCCTGGTTAGACCGAGCTGGGAGCTGTAGTAAAGGTTCTGCCCAATCCTCAGAAAGTAACCGCTACATATCCCTGCATGATCTCAGTGGACTGTTCCTGCTGATAGGTGCTATCATCCTCTCTTCCTTCATAGCCTTCTTCTGTGAGAATATCTACTACAGTGTCAAGGACAAGAAGCAGAAAAAGGCAGCGAATATAAAACTAGCAGTGAAAAACCGATGGCAGTTGTTGATGGAGAAATCCCAGAAAGAGCGGGCTGTTAAGACAGCTAATGCTACCACCTCGCCCCATTGCAGTTTAGAGGAGATGCAGTCAGTGAGGCTGAGGTTCGCGGTAAAGTTGAGGGAGGCATCGGTGGAGCAACAGAGGATAGAGGAGCTGGAGCAGCAGAACCAGCTTCACAGTCACTTGAGGAACTCAGAGAAGATGAGCATCCTACGTCCTGACTGTCATTAGTAGCATCTCCAGATGTACTGGTTGTTGTGAAGTTCCGTTGGCGTTTTTTGGAAATCAACTGTTGTGAGCTAAACATTTTTACAGTTTCATGTTCTACCGATACTTTAAATATGAGAAATGAACATTAGCACCGGTCATTAGTTCTGTTGATAGAATTTCTTTAAATTAATGTTTTAAGAAACGTACAACTTGTTGATAAATTTGTTGTATATTAAATTATTTTAACTAAGTGGTTTTCATTGTCATAAATTAAGACATAAAAGCTGTGTGTAAACTTTGAAATACAGTCCCACTCCTTAACAGACGTCACATTTTAATCAAGGGTGATTCTGTCAAGGTTGACGGCAAGAAACAATTCCTAAATCGAACTAAATAATGTATGTAAAATTGTACAGTTTTTGGCTACAGTCATGGCTACAGTCCTCAACCCTTCTATCTGGCTTATACAGCTCTTTGTAATACCTGTTCTTAGCCTCATGTGTATAAAAACCCGTGTATAGCAAAATAGTATAGCAAAATGCTATTCGGGAAATTCCAGAGATGGTTGGAGGACTAATCTAAAATAACAACGGTGTTCTCCACTACAAGTATAAGACTACACAACACTACACTAGTGACTATTTTACCAATCTTAACTCTGACTGTCCCACCCCAGGATCCGGTGCGAGCAACACGAGTGTGAGTCCCCGACCATCAACTGCGAGGGAGAGAACTTGGAACCGGTGTGTGACACCACCAATGTGCAGCACGCTCACATGTGCTCTCTCGTCCAACAAGGCCGGGTACTGGCTCATAGAGGGTACTGTTTGGGAAGCTGTAACGCTACAACTGGCACTGTGTGTGGGGCTAATGGTCAGTGACTTTACATTTTATTGGACTCAGCATTTTAGGACTGAGTTTCTCTTGTTATCAGAATTGATTTTTTTAATTTGTAATATGTTAAATTTAATAACTGAATAAAGATTATAGAGTTGAAGAATAACTTGGAAGCTGACCTCACTCTGTGAAGGTTCACTCGAAAATATCGTCAAGTCTTTGACCCAACATCATGATTAATAAACCAATATGAGCTCTGTATATAAAGATGATTTGAAGTTTCACTGCACTGTATTGATTGAACTATTACAGGGCGAAACTACGCAAGTTCCTGTACAGCTGAGAGCGACTTTATGATAGTGGACTATGTGGGAGAGTGTAAACCTCCTACTGATGGAGACTTGGCTAAGGTGAGTAGTTGGTGGAGGGGAGGGGAGTGTAAACCTCCTACTGACGGAGACTTGGCTAAGGTAAGTAGTTGGTGGGGAGGGGGGTGGGGGAGTGTAAACCTCCTACTGACGGAGACTTGGCTAAGGTGAGTAGTTGGTGGGGGGTGGGGGAGTGTAAACCTCCTACTGACGGAGACTTGGCTGAGGTGAGTAGTTGGTGGGGGTGGGGGAGTGTAAACCTCCTACTGACGGAGACTTGGCTGAGGTGAGTAGTTGGTGGGGGGGGGGGGGGGGGGGTAGCACTTGCTGAGCGGTAGGGTTTTGTGAGTCTAATAGCGTGGTTAGCAGAGCTGCCAACATTGGCACTCTGGGGTATTGGTAGAATGGGACTGGGGGACTGTTCTATTAATGTAATTTTGTCATTGTGTGTATTTTTATTGAGGCTTTATCTTGGCTAAAGTAAGTTAGAATCATTCAAGTTTTATTTTACTGTTTGCAGAAATTCAATTTGCTATATTATAAGCAGTCAACAATAAGAAACATCCCTCTCAATCAACAGAAACTACCTCAAAATTCAGTAAAATATGAAAAATTTAGTACCACATAGAATCAATCCAATAAAACGTAAACAGTTAGATAATGTCCCTCAATCGCCTATAATCTAAAACTTGCTATATTAGTGAAATCCTAGGAGTTCTCCCACCTTTTGAAACAGCTCCTTTGCCTTCTCTTTCTCCGCTGCTATCATCTCTTCGGAAAAGATTGGAGCTGGGAGTGACTTCTCCTCCAGATAGAAAATTCCAGAACCGTCTTGGCCCTCAATCACATCATTAGACCTTTTAGCGTAGAATATTCCCTCTCCTTCTTCGTTCTGGATGGAGCGCTTAGCGTAGAAAATGGCATCTCCCTCTTCGTTCAAGTCTAACTCATCCTGACTCTTTGCATAGAATATTGCCTCACCTTGTTCGTTTAAGAGAGTATCTTCTGTTGATCTCTTGGCATAAAAGATAGCTTCGCCTGCTTCGTTTTCGATTACGTCGGTGGATCTCTTGGCGTAAAATATAGCCTCGCCTTCTTCATTCAAGGCTAAGTTGTCTGCAGACCTCTTGGCGTAGAATATGGCTTCTCCCTCTTCATCTGTCATCAAATCATCTGCTGATCTTTTTGCGTAGAAAATCGCATCCCCTTCTTCGTTCAAGAGTAAATCGTCGGCTGAACGTTTAGCGTAGAATATCGCATCCCCTTCTTCGTTCAAAAGTAAGTCATCAGCTGATCGTTTGGCGTAGAAAATCGCGGCTCCTTCTTCGTTCAACACAGTGTTATCAGCGGCCCGCTTTGCGTAGAAGATAGCGTTGTTGTCCTCATCAAGAATGGTGGACCTTTTCGTGGACCTGGCTTGGAGGCATGGCAGGATGAGGAGAACTAGGACAACTGCAACACACTTCATCTCAATTTTCTCAGCAACTGCTTTACTCCACTCTCCCAACCCCGTTATATATCCCTGGGCCGGCTCTTGCACTCGTAGTTAGGTAATTGGTATCGGTTACTTAACGCCCACTTGTCAAGCGCACACGCTCCCTTATTCGGCAATTAGAAAGTTGCACCCCCCTGCCGAGATGGTGTGGCGTTACAAATTTGCAATTGTTCGGAAGTAAATGTGATAAATCATTTGGGGATATTCGGTAGGTTTTGAAGCAGATGTTTGGTTAATTACAGGAATCCTCTGCCTTATTCCCTTGTTAGCGGGTCCCCGTTAACTGCCCTCCAGATTCGCTGAACCGAGAAACGTTTGACACCCTTCGAATTTTCCGCTTACGATGTCGCAAAAATCAGTTCTAATAGATGTTTGGTAGCAGGTGGTGTAGCTTTTAGCTTGATACCTGGATCTTTAAATCCCCGGCATGTCATGGGTCGCTAGCTTGTAATTTAACAACTTGCTGGATTGCGGGACCAAATATCAGGTATTACCTCATCTCGCCAGGAAGGCTGATGAGTCCGGTTCTGGAGTTTCTTCTAGATCAGTAGATTCAAGATATAATCTCGCCTGTTTGACACCTCCCATATCAAATAATCAGCTCTCATATCGTAAAATCAGGCTAGATATTGGGCAATATTTTCGAGGGGGCTTGTAAGAGTTCTTGATAAAGGCATACGCAATATAACAGAGTAAAAATTGCCACTTGAGATACAAATTATATTCATATCGACAGTGAAATGCCCGAAAGTGATTCTTGTACACTTAACTATGGAGTATGGATCACAAAAATCAAATATCATAATAATAATGATTGGTACAAATTTATCTAACCGCTTTAAATTCTATTAAGATACGGTAGGTTAAAAATCTTAAGATCGAGCCAAAGCTATCTATACTAATAAAGCGATACCATTAAATGTACGTTTCCCAGGGACGGTCCTGCTCATCAGAAGTGATATGTCCCGAACTTCCTAAGATATGTGTCGCTAACTACGTCTCAGGAATGTGCTGTCCAGTCTGTGGTATGTAAGAGATAAGCTCGTGTTATTTACTTAACTTAAATCTTAATGTTATTTACTTAACTTGATCTTATTTACTTAGCATGGACGATCACCTGTTTGAAGCTAAAAAAATTGATCGATTCTTGAAATCCATCATTCAGCTTCTCCGAACCGCACGCTTTATTATTTGATTAGCGATCAATTAACTGTTTAAAATCGATAAACTGATCCAAATCATAAACCCATTAACAACTAACCAATTAACTCAGCAATTAACCAATTAACCAATTAACGCACAGGAGCAGTAGTGTCTCTGTTACCGAGTCAAGTGTTAGTAGCTATTAATGAGATGTACCTATCTCCTGAAAAGCTGACTGTATCACTTCTCTGTAGGAAACTTAACGGACTTCTCAGTCTGGTAGGAGTTTATTTACTTTATAATAATTTATACTTACTACTTTTATATTTTACTTTATAATTACTGTACTTTTATATTTTACTTTATAATTACTACTTTTATATTTTAATTTATAATTACTGTACTTTTATATTTTACTTTATAATTACTACTTTTATATTTTACTTTATAATTACTACTTTTATATTTTACTTTATAATTACTAATTTTATATTTTATTTTGTAATTACTACTTTTATATTCACCTCTCCTGGTCTACTTGAAGTTTTAGTTAAATATTTAAAAAAAAAAGAATATTTAATTTTGCTTAAAGTCCTTCTCTTTTCAGTCGGAGTGCCTGGTGCAGTGTAATCTGGGACTATACGGTAACGTTGTAGCGCTCGTCTACACCACCATCCCCAAACCCTCCTGGGTCCAGGTTAGTACGCAACTATTTAACTTCTGTCTCTTGTCAAACCACCTCAATTTACTTGGACAACTTTGATCATTTCCAAGATTCTTGAATTGAATATTTAAACGTCTTGTTCCAGATTGAAGCGTGTAACAACGAAGCAATCCGCCTGGAGACGATGATCACCATCAAACACCCCCGAATCAATGCTGACCTAGTACTGAGCACAGTGCTGGGTGCTAAAACCACCACCGCTAATATAACCGGGTCTAAGAACAGTGCTTCCCGGCCTTATTATCGCGTGAACCAACACTTATTTATTGTTTTTATCTCCGTAATTTATTCGTGTTTTATATGCAGACTAACCTCGTTATGAAACCTCCTATTTTTTTTTCATTTAGCTTGATAATGCTACTAAATGCATAATAAGTGAGTGAGCTCTTGTATTATGATGATGATGCCCGCTGATGTGTAACTGTCTACGTGTTTTGATATTATATATATTTGAATTTATCTTTAGTTTTTTAATCTTACAGGGAAGCTTTTATTTTTCTAATGTTGAGACCCGCCGTGATTTATGATCCTGTATACAGTTATTACTATGTACCCTGTATACTATACACTTTTCATGTACCTATCAGTTTTCGTGCTAAAAGTAAATAGCGTGAGATGATGAGAGATGTTTGATAAATAGAGAGGTTTGGTAAATAGAGAGAGGTTTGGTAAATAGAGAGAGATTTGGTAAATAGAGAGAGGTTTGGTAAATAGAGAGAGATTTGGTAAATAGAGATAGATTTGGTAAATAGAGAGAGGTTTGGTAAATAGAGAGAGGTTTGGTAAATAGAGAGAGATTTGGTAAATTGAGAGAGGTTTAATAAATAGAGAGAGATTTGGTAAATAGAGAGAGGTTTGGTAAATAGAGAGATTTGGTAAATAGAGAGAGGTTTGGTAAATAGAGAGAGATTTGGTAAATAGAGAGAGGTTTAATAAATAGAGAGAGGTTTAATAAATAGAGAGAGATTTGGTAAATAGAGAGAGGTTTGGTAAATAGAGAGAGATTTGGTAAATAGAGAGAGATTTGGTAAATAGAGAGAGGTTTAATAAATAGAGAGAGATTTGGTAAATAGAGAGAGGTTTGGTAAATAGAGAGAGGTTTGGTAAATAGAGAGAGGTTTGGTAAATAGAGAGAGGTTTGGTAAATGGAGAGAGGTTTGATAAATATAGAGAGGGTTGATTTGCTAAACGATAAATAACAAGAGTTACTATGTGGTGTGCCTGTTCTCAAAGCAATAGAACACGTTTGTTCCGCACGTGGCAGTTCTCAGCCAATCAAATACAAGGATTGCTGTCATGAAGCAGCTTTCTGCCAATCAAATACAAGGATTGCTGTCACGTGTTCAAATTAACGTGTTCCTCCATTCTATTTCTCCAAACTGGGTTAACAATATTTACTGGTATTTTCATTGACTGTTTTAAAAATTGAAAATTAGGCACTGCAGTTTATTTTGGTGGAACTAGAAACTTGTCAACTGATTTTAGGTGTATGTTCCAGTCTGAGAAAAAAATAGTACAAGAGTATTTATAATTATAAAAATGGGTAAATAATTATGCAATATATTGTGCAGAGTCCGAATATTATTATTATTTTATTAAAAGAACCATAAAATGTAAAATAATTTTATTTCTGAAGATCTTCTGACGTCACTGCCCCTTAATTCGATGGTATTGGTTATCCTCACGTGCGTTTATTAGTTCATTCAATTATTAGTATACGTATGATTTGGAAATATTTGTCGACCATGATTAAACGCTTTAATATGAATCTTAGAGAAGGGAACCAATTTGAAAAGTAACAGGAATATGAAATTGAGAGACCAAACGCTCACGATTTGAAGTGATTTTCGGTTTCATGTGTGTTTCACGTTTAGTAAATTATTTCTGGCTTTATGTTTCAGTTTTGCATTAGATTCGAACTGATCGATGAATAAAACTTGGTATTAGATACCCTGTACAGCCTATAAAGATGTACCTTACAGTTCATATTGTGTACAATTGCGAAGCTGACGACTATAAGTATAATAAATGATGTTATACTCAGGGAGGCGGGGCACCCTTACTGTAGTAATGTAATACTGTCACGTGTCAAAACTACATATGCAGTAAAACTAGAATTCTGTGAATGTGATTAAACGATTTGTTAATATTTCGGGCCCTCCGATTTCACGATTACATGACTTCTATTTTATCAATGTACCGATATAATGTAAACTTACCGTGGGTCCTCAACATCAAAATTGGCGCGGCTCTAAATTAACACATAAGTTCAATGTCGTTCAGAGCCGCACCAATCTAGAGACCCGCCAATTTTGATGTGAACGACTTACGGTTACCGTGTCCTGCCTTATCGAATATATATACATTGTTTGAATAACTAAACTGTATCCTTCTCATGAAGATATCTACATTGTTTGAATAACTAAGCTGTATCCTTCTCATGTGTTTGATGTGCTTTGTCCCAACTTTTAAATCTCATTTTAGTACAAACAAATTTATCGTTATTAATTGTCATTAATTACAGATGTAATGATTATTATACACAAAAAAATTGGGTAAAGAGAACCGTCTGTGCACTATTTTGTTGCTCTAATAGTAATTTCAAACCAGAAGTAAACCAGGGCAGGAAGTGATAAACATGATCATAATATGCCCATATTAATTTAACTGAAAAGGTATTACAGTGCTGACAAGCAACGATATTTGTTTATTTTGCGATTCCGTACAGCTGCCCAAAACTTCATATTAATGTGCGGCAAAATTAAGATGAACAAAACACCAAATTTGTAGCTTTTAATTTTAAGTACTCCCAGGTTGGATTATTCAACAGCGTAGTATATAATTATATAAGCTATTAATTAAACAATTTGATAAATTGAAGAATCTAAATAAGTATGAAAAATTAAACACAATTCAGAAAACATTTCCATTATAAAAGCCTCCACAATCAAATAAATTTGTATTTAGAAGAAATGGTAAACTTTCCAAGGATGAAAAGCGAAGTAATTCAAAATGAAATCTCTCTACCCGGAGGGTCAACCGAAAGATGAATTGCCAGAGCCGTGTCCTGAGGCTGAACAGTAATATAAACAGTTCATTTCTTACATTGTTTTTTCAAAGTATACTCATTTTACTTACTCTTCCAACGTCCTATCATCCTCTTCAACACCTTCCAAACGCAATCTCCCTGATGCCCCTTTCACTGATGAGCATGTAGCAAGCCACGACCATGCTACCAGTCTGTGGAACAAATGTGCCAGAGAAGAACCAAATGTAAACACTCCGACTAATGTTGGTTTTGTCCAACATTGCTAGGTTTACTGAAAATACAGCAAAAGATGCTGCGGCTATAATATCTGAGAACACAAGGATAGTTACCAGCTTAAATTCCCTCTTAACCATTCCAGCGACTCTTATTTCACCAGTTTGGTACCAAAACCTAATCCAGGTGGCCAAATAAATGCCGGCCACAATACAACACACTATGATGAATGGAACCGTGGTTACAGCATCACCGATAACTGTTTTTTTCGATAATGGAATAGAGAATCCATCCGGGCTTCTGTTCATTTGTCCGTATATGATTGCAGCAGCAAAACAACAAGTGAAAAGAACGCTTATTGCGATTACTATACCCTTTATCAGTTTAAATGATTCGTTAAGGATTGTCCATAATGGACAGTGGATATTACTGTACTGCATAGCAACTATCACAGTGTCGAAGGATATCAGTGCTACTGAACTCAGGATGCCTACAATATTCAAGGCTATTTCCCACCATCGGAAACTCATTATTTGGGAGAAATCTCGATCATTGAGAAGAATGTAAGAAGCAAGGATACAGCTGGAAGTTAAAAAGACCGGTCGAGCGAGGGAGATGTAAAAGAGATGTCTGTTAATCCAGGAAGGTCGGTTATCCTTGTAGTAGTGAATCAGGAGCAAGTTCACTATAAGTCCGACCACTATGTAGGCTATCAGGACTCCTGCACAAACATAGTTCATGATCTCGTCAGTCTTGGTTCCTGTGTAGATGATCTTTCCAACTACTGTGATATTTCCGAAGGCAACCATTCTACTATTGGGTGTTAATAATAATATTAAGATAACTAAGCTTTTCACATGACAAATATTGGAACATGTGTTTGATATTTGATAATTTATCCTTCGCAAACTTTCTTAAACAAACTGTACCACTATAAAATATTTATAAGGAATAAAGATAATTACGTTTTCTGTTCATCAGCAAGCAAATTTAAAATCAGAAAATCAAAATTTTAACATTTATTTAAAGTAAGCAACACCGAAATAACTTCGTCATTCTGAGAAAGTGAGACCACAGGATAAGACATCAAGCAAGTTTTTAATCAACTTATATTCGTTGTTGAGGGATAATATTTCACCGCCTCGGATAAGTCGTGATAAAATGTTTCACGAGATTCAAAAGCAAAACCAACATTTTCAACGTCTACAGAGTACAGTGAAGAGAATGTGCAGAATATCTTAGATGGGAGCTTTCGCTCGTTAGATAACGTGACTCGTCGGATCAGTATCACGCCCATGTGATCACGCTTAGATAACCGGGGTAGGAGGTGGTATGTGCTGTGATGAGCGGTGTAATGTGACCTACTAGCAGAGTGTTGTTCATGCAATGTCTACAATTTGTGACCACACGTACAGGGGGAACATTCTTGTATTGGGCAAATGTTTTCATTAATTCGATACTTTTTCCTCAATTAACTCGATAGTTCATTAAGCTCAAAAAGTTAATGAAGCTTGTTATTATTAAGCTCTGAATAATATTTTTTGTTAGATAACCGTTTCTAATGATTAATTAATCAAATTAATTAATTTTAATTAAATATATCACCAGACCCTACGACCACGCCTTACACCGGTATAACCACATGCCTCACGTGATCTCTCCAGCTCTTCCCTTCGACGATATCATAGAGGCTTACTCCCAGCAGCAGTGGCATATGAAGAGAGGAGGGTACGATAATAACAATAACAATAACAACAACAGTAACAACAACAGTAACTACAACAGCTATAATCGTGATAGCGGGTATAGTCAGCGTCCTGTGTTCTCTGGAGGAGGCGGAGGTGGGACTGGAACTGGGGGTGTTCATGATGAGTTTAGTTATTAATTAATTAATTTAGTTAATTAGCCACACTTCAACACTGTCTAGCATGATTGTTCAAAGAGTTTTCAATTATTTTGATTATACATAACAACTGTTTTAATTGCAATGCACACAAAAAGTAGGTAAGAAACAACTTTTAAAGTAACACTGACCCTAGTAAAGGCAGACTACTAATATATCAATACCAATACCAATAGTTATAGTTCCCGTTCATAAAACCATAAATCAAGGTGTACCCCGGGGGTATGTCAGGTGGAATGTTCGGTGGAATGTCCGGAGGAATGGACTCTCTCCCTGGTAACACTGGGTACTCTAATCCTGGATATCCCGCTGCTAATATTGAGGAACAGTATTATTCTCACCAGGTTAGAACAACACTTTTAGAACAATATTAAAAGTACACTCTCAGTTTTATCAGTCAATAATAACTGGGTATCTTATCGAAACCATTTGTATTTTTCATTGATCCTTATCTTCATCAGTGACAACTTGCCAGCATTTTAGCCATATAACTGAGGGGTTGAGTTTCGCCCCTATTTTCTGTTATACTTATTAATATTATTACTATCGCATTTTATCATATCTTATCTTTTATTATATCTTATCTTTTATCATATCTTAGCAGACAGTACGCGGGAACACATATCAATACAGTGGGCAACTTCAGTACGGCAACAAGATGCTGACTGCTCCCTCTAAGGCTCGCTTTTAAAAATATAATTCGACTTGCCTTTGTTGAGTTAGTGTAGATAAAAGGAGCTGAGACAATCAAGGGACAGCAATCTTACACAAATGTGCTCAAAACATACTTCACTCAAAGTCAAGCTAATGTATAAATAATGATCCGACAAATTCCTGAAATACCAACAGGTGCCAACTTTAAGTTTAAGAACAATAAACTTCCATAACCTTTTCTTTATAGAAAATTAATCCCCTCAGCTCAGACATCAGTGCCTGTTTGTATTTCTTGAGTTCAAGTTTTCGACGTTGTAAATATATATCATAAGAGCTTAATCACTAGTCTGTAGTCATACTACTTGTTTCAGCTATGCGATTCATTTCAACCACAAATCAAGTATAGCAACTACTAGCTGTAGTTGCAGTTTACAGTGTAAACTGCAACTACACACATTACACATTACATCTGATGACTGATCCAGATAATATCTTATTATTAAGCAAATATGATTATGTCTTATTAGTATTACGGTTCATATCCATGGATATTGGAATATTTCATTATCTGGGCACAGTTTTATTTACACATAACTGCTATATAAAATTACTACATAACTCACGACTACTGATAAGGTGTTCAAGTAGATTACTACTTTTGTGGGCTGATAACGTCGATTGAACTATTTTTTATCAATAGTTAACTATTAGTTTTTATGGATTGATTAATAAATATGCCCGGATACTATGATTCATAATACCATCATTGATCATGGTATATCATTATTAATCCGAAATGGCGAGACAAATCAGTCAAATGTAGTTTTGAACATTGGTTGCAATCACCCCAAATTTGGTTCTAAGTCCGCCTCAATGACAAAGCCGTGCAATCAATTGTGATAAAGGAGCCCTCAGAGTCGGCACACATTTGCATTTTTATTCTCACCTTTTTGTTGGAACGCTACGTTATTTTGTGTCATGAGAAAAACCGGTAAGTCTTGCAGTTTTGGTAAGTCTTGCAGTTTTGCTGAAGATGCACCAAAGAAATCAGTCAATTTTAGCGAAAACCTGGTAGAGAAGAAGTCTGTCAACTTTGGTGACGATTCATCAAAAAGATCAGTAAATTTGTATGATGATTTTGCTGAAGAAGCTCCAAAGAAAGCAGTTAATTTTGGTGATAGTGGTGAGAAGAAACCAGCAAGATTTGGCAAGAAACGACCGTCTCTTCTGCGACAGAAGTCATCGCACTGCCTTGTTGGTAATGATTGCACTATTTCTGTCTATGCGGGTATAGTTTCGCGTACATTCCAGATTTTTCAGCATTTTTATCAGGGCCGGTCAATGTCATTTAGAATTAGAAGAAATGTAGACCATTACGTCCGTCAATATTTATTTTAAAGCACTGCAGTCCGACACTCAAAAGTTTGACAGAGATCATACTGATCTGATAGTGATCACTTCTGTTGAAATTAAACGTGACGACCTCTAGGCAGAATACCTATTTGTATTAGTGCTATTTCCCCTTCATTCTCAACTTCTGATTCAATCCGTACGGCGTACACCTTATCAATATCAAACAAGGCAGTTCAACTCCCGATACATTCATACAACGGGCACTTTGTATACTTTAAGTTTAACTGACACGCGTTTATCATTTATAAATTGTTGAATATAATTTTATATTTTTACTTATAGTTTTTATTTAAACGGAGAGATGTTTCTAAAATGTAAAAGGGCCCCGGCAGTTGATAATGACTATCCTACTTTACAGCTAACAGTAACCATGATGTTACTATCCTACTTTACAGCTAACTGCAGTAACCATGATGTTACTATCCTACTTTACAGCTAACAGTAACCATGATGTTTGACTCAGGAGTGGACGTGCTCCAAGTTAGCAAACTAGTAGAGGAACTAACTGAGGAGCTGGTGGTGGAATATGAGGAAGCCGAACAGGAACCTATAGACCCTTCACTGTTAGGTTTGAGTAGCTTCATCGGTCGCTTGAAAGCTGTGGTACTGATAGTGATATAAATTCTTTTATCAGATTTCTCAGCCAACCTTTCAATCGACAGATGAAGACATATATAATACGTTAAACATCACCGAGAAAAGCTTTAAACGGCCACAATAAAATTGTGTACGCTCTGAGGTCCTTCACAGTACTGATGATTACATAGTTCAGCTATTATCAAAGTAGGTCTGAAAATAATATAAGAATACAGTTTAGTTAGTTTTTTTAGTTAACTTGTATCATAAAACTAATTTTTCAGACGAGTGCGACAACCTAACGGACTGCACTGAGAGGATTTTAGAAGCATTAGGCTACAATAGTGAGGATGATGACTTCAAGTTCACCTCCTCGGGCTCGACCCACTCGTCCTCTTCTTCCGGGGAATCAGGGTTTGAGGTACCATGGCAACCAGTTACCAGAACAGTGATATCACTTTAGAACTTGGTAAAGCATTTTTATGATCAATTGCCTAATCATCGCCGCCAATGACTTTACTCTGCTGACTGCTGGTTATGCTCAATTTGAGAAACTGTAAAATGTAAACTATGCTGTTCATGTGTGTCTTTAAAATGATAACCTGTGTTACTTTTATTAAAATACCACTGGAATCTGCACGAACTGTTGTTAAATATAAATTTGTTTAGATTAAATTACTGTAAGTTTAAATAATGATTGTGTGAACTGAATTGTATGGTTTGTTAGCGGAAATTATAACGATATTAGAGCGGCGTGAAAGTCGCAAAAACTTAATCGCCATCCTTATCATTCTTCAATAAGGATGACACGTACACCTTGCAATACTTTACTAAATTCTTGCAAGATCAGGGTTGGCGCGGTGCCAATTCCAACGATTGAAATGTGAAAGAGCCAAGTTAACCGAGTTACTGTTAAGACCTCGTCTGAAAGCTTGATAAAATAGCCAAGAAGGGCGCAACAGTAATCCATCTCTTTCTCATTAAAGTTTATCGAATTTACGAAAATGGACACACATATATTTTGTAAGACAATGAATATTAAAAAGTTAGGTATAGATTAACAACACGTTATACATCTTAACATCTTTACAGAAGATAATAAAAAAATCTGATAAAATAGAATTTCCATTCATTTACCGATTGCTACACCTTTAATAAATTACCCTCCGATATTAAGTCTGAAAACATTTAGAAAAATAAAAAAATATGACTCAGACCCCTTCAAATCTTGTGATGGGCATGGTAACTAAAAAAGTTGACAACGAATCCGATAAAATTTCCTCTAGCAGCTAGCTTAGAGTCCGATAAAATTTCCTCTAGCTCTCTAAAATCGAATGAGAAAGTGACGTGATGATGAGTTCAAATAAGTTATAAATCTGGCGCGTCCTCAGAACTAGTCACAAGTCAGGCAGAGTTTGCTTTCTGAGCACCCTCCTGATTTCCACCACCCATTCCATCCTCCAGAAAGGTGGGATGAAGGACCTGGAGTGAGGCTCCAATCAAGTGTAAGCTTCCTGTTATCAGGACATCAGTTTCCTGGTTGGAGGACTGGGCTAATTGCTCTATGTGCCGCACACCTTCTTCAACTGAAAGAGGAGAGAAATCTTAATCACGAGAAACTGGGAATAGATTTGTGATTTTCGATAAAATGAAATATTCCAGACAGGGGTTGATCCCCGAGACAGTGAAAATTGAGCTAGATTACTGTATATTAGGTGCCCCTATTTCAATAATACCCGGTTACAACATGTGCTGTGTCACGTGATATAATCAGGATCTGTGCTTCTACCCAGCAGCAGCAGCAACTGCAGACACCACGGTGATTTTTTTATTTTTTTATTGAAATCTTTCAAATCGGTCAATTACATACAAGTTTACACAATGAATTAGTTAAATATAATATTGTCCTCTAAGTATGGATTGTCAAAGTTGAAATTGTCTCGGACAAAATGTATGTAACCAAAGGACCTGAGGGTCACCAAAACACAGATATTGAGTGCAAATGCAGCTCCTGCACAAGCATGGGCCCTTATAAAATTGTAATAAGTTACTTTAAACAAAATCACACACCCATTCAATCAATTCATAAAATATTGTGCTGTGAGACTTGCAGTGCCTAAAAACTTTCTGTTACCAAGATGACACTTTAGATTTTTGGAAATGTTCGTAGTGAACATTGCCCCTTCTTTCAAAATTAGCATGCGCAATATTTTCGGTTCCTGCAAATCCGCTGCTGATTTGGAAAGAACACAGTTTTCCCAGATTGAAATCTAGCAATGTGAAATGATAAATCCAGAAAGATTTTGTTGTGCCAATTTAATTAAGGGTCAAAGGAAAAGTCCTGCAAATTTTGAAAAATAATCTCACAGTTATAGGTCTCACTCTCAAAGAGGGTACAACATGCAAGGAGGGAGAAACTGTACTGGAACAATTCTTGGAAAATTTGTTTTTAAGGAACGAATTCTAGCAATTAGGTAATGTAATTTGGACTACAAGGGGCAAACTGTGTCCTGCTCCCGTCCTGCTAATTTACTCCCACGGCATAAAAGAGTAATCAGTAATGTTATCTGAATTTTATACTCGCTAGGCTTCTGAACTTCTGATGAATCCAGACAATCTAGCAATGTGAAATGATAAATCCAGAAAGATTTTGTTGTGCCAATTTAATTAAGGGTCAAAGGAAAAGTCCTGCAAATTTTGAAAAATAATCTCACAGTTATAGGTCTCACTCTCAAAGAGGGTACAACATGCAAGGAGGGAGAAACTGTACTGGAACAATTCTTGGAAAATTTGTTTTTAAGGAACGAATCCTAGCAATTAGGTAATGTAATTTGGACTACAAGGGGCAAACTGTGTCCTGCTAATTTACTCCCACGGCATAAAAGAGTTATCAGTAATGTTATCTGAATTTTATAATCGCTAGGCTTCTGAACTTCTGATGAATCCTGACATGTAATATGTTTTGTTTTAAAGACCTTTAATTCACACACCAAAACTTTAAATTTTATCAAATTACAAATGTCCTAATATATACGTCTCTTATTAAGTTAAAAGTCAGGGGTGCAGCCGTTGTACTTCAATTAAAATAATTGATCACGCCTGATCACGATGTTATTTTATCAAAATCAGCTACCCGTTTAATATCAGAATATGTAATATAAATTAACAGATTTCTGGTTCATTGATAATGTATTTTTTGTTTAGGTGGAATTAATTTTTTGGAAAAAACAAAAAACAAAAAAAGGGAAAAAAAGGAAAAAAAGGGGAAAAAACAAAAAAGAAACCTAAAAAACAAAAAAAACCTAAAAATACGTTATCCCCCCCCCCCCCCGCCCCCCCCCCCCCCCCCCCCCCCCTAGAAATGGGCTAGATACAGGGTAGAGTTCACATATCAACTCTGTACATCATGGCTGTGCATTAAGAAGTAAACACGATCTTTAAGATTTGACCGCTCGACTCGTATATCACATAAGGGACGGGAGCTCTTGCTAAAGGGGGGTTCTCGTATCTAGGGATGTAAGACGTACGTGCCAAAGGCATGCAACGGGAGTCAACCGATCAAGTGTTCTTAGGTATATAATTCAAGGAGAAAAGGAAATCGCGGCACGTGCGGAATCGCGATTTTTTGACGTTTGCAGCGACAAATCGCGATTTTCTCAGATCCTCACGACAGATCGCGATTATTTCAGTTCTCCGCGACAAATTTGTGCATTCTCCTTTAAATCTTCAGGCCAAATATCACGTTCTTTAAAAATGTAAGTATATGGAACCAATCACATCCACAGCCTTCCGAATGTATGTACGGACTTCAGAAGCTCATAATGATCAGGGTAGCATGAAACATGAACAAACGTAGTTTCCAGAAAATCTTTGAAAGAATTTCGACTTAGAAAATTTTCGGTCCGAGTAATTCTCCCGCCTGCATTCCGAGATCGCATTACAAGGGGTAAGCTTCGAGTCCAAAATCGTATATAGAGAGGTAGGTACTACTAAAAGATACAGACTTTAGTAAAGTAAACCGTTGACACACGCTGCAACCCCTTTTGATCGCAACGTGTAGCAAGTAAACCGGGAAAAATATGTTAGGCTCATAATGATCATTATGATCAGGGTAGCATAAACCGTGGAAAACAATTGGTTTCCAAAAATCCACTTTCACAAGCATTTCTTAACCCACTCGTCTGCTGACGTAACATTGTTAGCCAAAAACGTCCCTAAAACTTGACACGAGACATAAACTTGACCACTAGTCGACACCCCAATCAATGTATGGAAAACTGCAAACATTCACATGACGATGACTCACCCCACATGAGGAATTGTGCGAGAAGATGAACAATCAACAAAGGCAAAGATGAGGAAATAAAATAATGTGTAATGCGTGTTAGGCATAAGGTTAGTTAGGCATAAGGTTAGTTAGGAGTTAATTTGTTAAGTGAAATTGAATCATGAGGTTTGGAACCATGAGAACATTGATCAATTGTTAACACAATATATACGGACAACATCTCATGAGGGTAAAGGAAATATTTCTATGAACGTAGTGATCAGGAGTGTCAGCTTTATACTCGGACGACGAGCCCTCGGTCCCCACAAAAGATAATCTTTAGAATTATAGTTAAGGCTAGTAGTTCAATTTGTGTAAAGGAACTCATGGTCAGTCTATAAAACACATGAAAAGCAGTGTGCTCCATAGCCCTTAGTCTCTAGCTTTGTTATCAAAACACGTGATTCGATCACGTGATGCTATCTCATTGTAAACAGAGTTTATTCGTTTGATTACGTGTAGTATGGTAAAGTATTAACACAAGTTAACTAATAATACATATTATGTATATGAGTACAGATTCGAAGTGGAACATCGAGTTCCGTTCTGGCGAGCTGGAAGGAACTTTCGAGATCGTCTGGAAGGGCTGATCTATAATTTATAAAACTATGATATACAGACTACAAAGTTGACATGTTAACTCTCCCCTGTATCTAGCCCATTTCTAGGTCAGTTAAATTCTACTGATGGATCACATCACTAATTATACGTCACTAATTGGTGACATGATCTGATCTCCGTGGGACCCCTAATAATGAGGGGGCCTGGCCGTCGTGCAGTCACCGACAGTGACTGCACGAGCATTAGACTCATGAGCAACATAGCATTAGCACTTGTGACAAATGCTAATGCTATGTTGCTCATGAGTCTTTAGGATCTTTCCAGTTAACAGTCCAATGGCCCATTTGTGAATATTGTCATTGTTCGCTCGGCAAAAATCCGTTTTCAGCCACATTTCCGAAAATAAGCATTATAAGGTATATATTGCTTCATAATTTGTATATAATTATGGCTATTAGGCAAATTTTGGTGTATCGGAATAGTCTCTACGACGTTCCTGGGCTGAAATACAAAAATTCGAGGGACCGCAAAACCCTGAAAAAAGGTGTGGCCGAAACCGCCCATATTGGATTTATTACAAAAATGCAAAAGTGGCCAAATGTTTTAAGCATCATCTAAAGAGGTGATAACCGTCGAGAACTCGCTTTTAACACAAAAAGCTAACGAGTTTCCCTTTCGTCTCGGACTACAAGTATCACCTCTCTCCTACTCAGGTCAGGGAACGTATCAGACTTAACGGCCGAGTTATATCCCGAGATCTATTCTCCCACTACTTCAACGAGATCTGGGACATGTTCGAGCGGTGTGAGATTGCGGACCTAGAGAACAGTCCTGCTAGATTCCCGTCATTCCTCAAGTACATTGTTGTCATGTCCTACTACGTGTTTATTAAGGTGGGTCACGTGATCAGGTCTGGCGAATTTAAAAATCTTGTTGCTTTTACCAATAGTCTTATTTTGAACCATTTACATTTCCATCACAGCACTAAACCCTGTCTCACCCATCACTAAACCCTGTCTCACCCATCACTAAACCTTGTCTCACCCATCACTAAACCCTGTCTCATCCATCACTAAATCCTGTCTCACCCATCACTAAACCCTGTCTCATCCATCACTAAACCCTGTCTCACCCATCACTAAACCTTGTCTCACCCATCACTAAACCTTGTCTCACCCATCACTAAACCTTGTCTCACCCATCACTAAACCCTGTCTCACCCATCACTAAACCCTGTCTCACCCATCACTAAACTCTGTCTCACCCATCACTAAACCTTGTCTCACCCATCACTAAACCTTGTCTCACCCATCACTAAACCCTGTCTCACCCATCACTAAACCCTGTCTCATCCATCACTAAACCTTGTCTCACCCATCACTAAACCTTGTCTCACCCATCACTAAACCCTGTCTCACACATCACTAAACCCTGTCTCACCCATCACTAAACCCTGTCTCACCCATCACTAAACCCTGTCTCACCCATCACTAAACCCTGTCTCACCCATCACTAAACCCTGTCTCACCCATCACTAAACCCTGTCTCACCCATCACTAAACCCTGTCTCACCCATCACTAAACCCTGTCTCACCCATCACTAAACCCTGTCTCACCCATCACTAAACCCTGTCTCACCCATCACTAAACCCTGTCTCACCCATCACTAAACCCTGTTTCATCCATCACTAAACCCTGTCTCATCAGGAGCGGGTAGACGTGGCTGTGATAGAAGTGGGACTAGGAGGGAGGTACGATTGTACTAACGTTGTGGACCACCCTGCTCTCACTGCTATTACTCACCTGGGTTACGACCACTGCTCCATTCTCGGTGAGTGTGCGTGTGTGAAGTTAGATACAACATTTGTCGCATGTTGCTTTGTAGGTGTAGATATATTGGGGATTTGCAGAATTGTACCCTTAATTAAAGCCTGTGTGTATGCGCGCAGAGCTTAAGCAAGAACTGTAAATGGTATTTTTCTACATTCTAGATATTTATACGTAGTCACTAGTCTATGTAAATTAATGTATTTCAATGATTTATTTCCCTGTAATGTCACGTGATCTTACATAACTCCCGTCCAGGCTACACGATAGAGGAGATAGCAAACGAGAAGGCGGGTATAATGAAAGAAGGGGTCCCAGTGTTAACAGTTAACCAGCACTATACTGCTAGCTATCCTGTACTGGAAAGAGAGGCTAGAGAGAAGAGTACTGCTGTTATTAGGGGTAAGTAAAATGGTTTGTTAGTGAACTTTCCGTTCCTGTAATTGGCCTATCTACAATATATATAGGTAACTTTTGGCAAGGTCAAAAGTTTAATCGTGTTATCGTTTCACTGCGCATTTGACAATATTGATCGACAAATTAGATATGACAAAAAATGGATTAGAAACTGATAAAATGTTGGCCACAATTTCAAAATTTGAATTTTCTCACTAAAAATGACTCACTTTTACAAAGAAATATTCATACTATTAATAATAATTCAATTATAAGTGTCGGTTGTGCATTAATGAGCACTCATTTTAATATTTGTTCCTTTTTTGAGTTCTAGTTTCTCACCATTCCTTTAGACGTCACCAGTTCTCTCTGTCTACCTATCTCTCCCTGGTGTTCTGATACTGTTTTGACCTGAAGGTACTCTTTTATTGAACATATTCGGTTACAGACAATTCATTTTCCATCCTCCATAAGTACAGCAACGGGTTCAGGGCCGCATTGAGAAACTGTGAGATATCTCGCTCATTGTGAAGCTGGAGAAGATATGAACTCGTTAGAGGAAAAACCGGTCCTGGGTCGGGATTGATAAATGGTTGGACGAGACGGTGAGAGCATAACGTTTTGAGGTCAAGAGTTGCAGATAAGGAAAAAAAACTGCAGCAAAGACGATATTGTAACAGATGCCTGTGTTTTCTTCTGTGAGGACAGAGTTGAACAAGGTGCTTTGCCTGAGCTTGGTCGGTTACACAAAGCGAGTAATAACAGCAGGGTGGTTATTCCCACGTATATGCTATATTTGACCAAAGTACATTGTGTTTACCGGCATTTAATCTATCCATAGTATGCAATATCCACACCGGGGCTGTAGAACCCGATTGCGATCCTATAGTAGTGAGTTGTCCATGCAATGTGGTACAGAAAATTAAATTCCGAGGGAGTCCGAACTGCTTTTTTGTTGTCTTGTAAAAAGGAAAAACAATCACAATTGCTCGTGATATGGCTGCAACATGACAGCGAACATGGGACTTTTGCTGTTAGTTTTGGAAGACGAAATACCAAACCAAAGCAGAATGTAGGATCCGCAAATGGCCCGGGTTTCCTCGTGGTCCAATATGGTGCCCATAACAGGCAATTGAATTACACTGGAAACAAGCTTCCATTGGTGCAAGCTATGAGATACAGAAGGGGTCGACAACCCTTTTTCTTTGACTTGTGGAAGTGCCTCCAAGCCAGACAATTTCCTGGTAGTCCAATTTATCAGACAGAACCCCCACAGGACCTAGAGCCAGTAATCCATCGTAAATCGGAACGGAAGAGTTTCTTTTAAACAGCTGGTCAGAGTTGATGCTGTTGAGTCTGTCGCATTTTACCTGTATATTGTTTATAAAATATATTGAATTCATAAGTATTGGAAAATTTGAGGGAGGGTCTTCAAGAAAGGTATGGTCCATAATATCACTGGGATATTGCAATGGCCAAAGCTCAGGTATAATGTTATTTTTTTTATTCTGTGGGAATTATTCCTTGCTATGATTGCACAATCCTCATCCAGCCCGGTCTTCAAGACCATCGGTTGGGGGACTCAGATGTAATCTTTAAGTACAGCCACGAACAAAGGGCTAGAGCTTGCTATCAGCGCGGTTAAATGGGGTTTACGGTAAATCAAGGTTTAACTGATAACGTTTTTTTTTCTGGGAATTGCTGTTGGAGAATAAGGTTTAGGTCAAAAAGGTCGTTCACTAGCAGAAGAAGATCATGATCCTAGAATCTGTGATTTTATCAATCGGTTTACCACGCAGAAAAATATCGTGATAATCAATAAGTATGGAGTTTAATGTGGCGAAATTACCGATTTATTAAAGGTAGCGATTATAGTTTTCGACGATCACGCAACATGAAATAATTATATTTAACAGCTGCAAGCTTATTCTGTCTAGAACTATTTTAGTTTTATTATCATTACTTTGTAAACGGATTAAAAACTAATTTTCTAGCGTTGCTTGTGACACGGACAAATAAAAAAATTCTGGATTATATATGACTCAACCCTGGGTTTTAAATTGTTTCAGGCAATTGTACAAGACAATAAACGAATTGGATTTTATTCAATAAAAAAGACTTTTATATTAATATTTCTTATCGTGGATTTTAAATTCCTCAGTCCCTTAAGTATCATACTATCTTACAAGAAGGCAGCAAAACAATTTCTTTTGCCCCATACATTGTTAGCGTTGTAGGCAATATGAGACAAAATACTAAGAACTTGAATCACAAACTGAATGGAAAAAGATATCGATGGGTTTTCCGAAATCTCCCTTAGAAAACGAATTGCCCATTGCTTATAAGATTTGTGAGTGATCAAACAAAAATACGTAGTGTAGACTTGGCTGTGCAAAACAAAGGGAAACTGACGTTTTAGTAATACAACAATCTGTTACAGAGTACTGTAGGGCGCAAAATATACCGACTATTGCGAGGGTCAAAATTAAAAGTGCTCCACTTCTGCTTATTTGTTGACCACTCACATGACCTACAACCAACCTTTCCACGAATTCAGGGTCTCGCTATTTATTGAACAATACGTCGGCAATTTATCAAACGTTTACCACGCAGAAAAATCCGGTGATAATCAATAAGTATGGTGTTTAATGTGGCGAACATACCGAAATACCGATTTATAAAGTTAGCGATTATTGTTTTAGGACGATCACGCACAAGAAAATATTTATATTTTTACCAAGGCTGCGCCTATTCTGTCTAGACCATTTTTAGTTTTTATCATCTTTGTAAACGGATTAAAACTAATTTTCTAGCGTTGCTAGTGACAAATAAAAAAAAATACCTGGATTATATTTCACGACCCTCAAACCTGGGTTTTAATATGTTTAAGGCAATTGATACCAAAGACAAACTAAGGAATATTATTCTGTAAACTGACTTTTATATTATATTCTTATCGATGGATTTAAAATCTACCTCAGACCCTAAGTCTCTTACTATCTTACACGAATGCAGGCAAAACAATTTCTTTTGCCCTTATTGTTAGCGTTGCTAGCTATGAGGACAAAAATACTAAGAACTTAAATCACCAAAATGAATGGAAAACGAGAATCGATGGAGTTTTCCACTCCCTAAAGAGCGGAAATATTCAATCTGCCTTAAATCCCTAAATACCAATTAATTACCCAGATTATGATTAAATCTTGTGGCGTGTGTTAGGAGCATTAGAACTTGCCAAACTTGTGGTCCACCAAGTTAAAAATAATTCACTAAGATTAGTATACGTGTTCAGTTTGTTTTGTTAGTGGAAAATGGGGTTCTTAAAACTTATATATGCTTTACTTAGCTGACATTATAAAATGTTATCGAGGCTAAGAGAGAGACGCAACGCATTGGAAGAGTGAGATGGGTCAGGAGCAGATGGGGTCGAGGAAATTTATTAACTAAACATACTTATCCACTTATCAATGCAATGAGTATGATATTGTACTGACAACGGAGAGTGTTAACTTTAAGGGAAATAGAAGGTCTGCCCGCTATAATTAATTTAAACATTTAAAATTTGTTATATACAAGATAATTATGGTTTTTTTTAAACTATCTTAGTGTAAATCCAAAGGGACCTTGGAATTCATTGTCATGTGGGAATGCGAAGGACAATATAATTTTGTGATGCTAAGGACGGACCCCGGAAAGGCTGGATGGCCTGTGTACTCGAGGAAGCGGCAGACTTTACAGGTGTCACGGTCGATAACATCAGCAGTGACGGGGGGTCATATGATCAGAATCGTACATGACGTTGGGTGGGTGTGTCATATTTTCTTCAAAAAGCAGTTAGTACTCTTGTACTAAGTGGTGGTTCTGCTGCTCATTTCCAGAAAAAACAGCTGGTACATGGTTACTAAAGGGTTCATTTTTGTTGGTCCAACCCCATCAAAAAAACCATTTTAGCTCAAATTTTCAATTTTGGGAATGGTTTTGAGGTTTTTTTTGAGTTTTTTGTGGGTTTTAATTTTTATTATTTTTTGTAACTTTTTTATCTATTCGATACATTGTAAACAAAACCCCCTACTAATAGTGAGTATAAATTGCCCATTTCCAATGTTTGATGAGCTGTTTAAAGCCAAATTGTATAGTGTGGGTATCTTATTTTATATACCAGGACTCAGTTAGTACGTGATTTCTAACATTAGTACCGCAAAAAGGGGGGTTGCGTGTCATTAATATTTATCCGAAAATCGTTTGTACCGTGGGATGGGGGTAGGTGGGTCCTTTTGTAAAAGTCTAAAAACTGCACTTAGTCGACGGTCACGTACGGCACTTAGACCTGATCACCCATGGAGGGAAAACATTTTACACCGTAGAAGGATGTGTGTTGATGCACGCCACTCAACGATTAGGAGGCGACCCTCTTATGTGAATGTATGTACTATGTTTGTATGTTATGTACCTTGAGTCGCCTAAATTAATTCGACGATAGCCGGTTTGACAAGACGAAGTAAAAGCTGCAATTTAGCAAAGAAGCTCAACAATTGGATGTGGGCGGGTGAACAATAGAGCTCTGTGGGAGTGCTTTAGTTGACAGCCGGAAACGTCGATTATTTCTTTTAATTTTTCACCAAAAGGGTTTTTTCATAGCCTGTTACACTTTGTTTGTCGGGAGCCGTGATGCTCCTCTACTGATACTAGAATGTTAAAAACTCACGCTCGGCCTTACGAGTTTTATGTCAAATTTGAATAATGACAATTCCGTTTACAATGGTATATCTGAATTATAATGGTATAGAAATTACTTAACCGGACCAATTAATGAACTTGTAAAGAACTACACAAACAGTTGTAAGTGTCTTAATTCTACGGTCGTATGACTTGGCCTATGGTGCACGTAAAGTATTGAATTGCAGAGAAGAATCTTCAAAATCTGAAAACAAGTTCAAAATAAAAAAATCTTTAATTTTATAAATGATTTTGAGAGCGACTATTTTAATAGGGGGTCGTTCATATTA